TACAGTTGTAAAGTGTGGGGGCGCCTTTCAAACCCATGGTGAGCTTGAAGCCAGGGCTTAGGGTCAAAGGGCTAGAAGTTCTAACCACACCCCTACCATACCCCAGACAATGCAGCGCCCAGTACGCCCTGGGGAGCCCTAAGCCTCGTAGAGCTTGCTCCTAGTATAGCTGCGTTGTCTATAGTAGAGTATAGCATACTAAATATATGTTTATATGATTCGACAGTATACTACAGTATACGACAGTATACTACAGACGTATACCTGAGAGCCCCCTGTGTAGGTCTTGAGCCAGACTTGGTCCACCGCTGTGACGCTGACGGGGCTTCTAGCCACTTTGCACGAGTGGACGAGTAGCAAGGTTTTTAGCAGTACCGGGTGGCGGTGGCAGTAGCAGTAGGAGTAGCAGTCGCAGTCGCAGTCGCAGTAGCAGTTGTAGTAGTAGTAGTAGTAGTAGTAGTAGTAGTAGTAGTAGTAGTAGTAGTAGTAGTTGTTGTTGTAGTAGTAGTAGTAGGAGTAGTAGTAGTAGTAGTTGTTGTTGTTGCAGCAGTAGCAGTAGCAGTAGCAGTAGCAGTAGCAGTAGCAGTAGCAGTAGCAGTAGCAGTAGCAGTAGCAGTAGCAGTAGCAGTAGCAGTAGCAGTAGCAGTAGCAGTAGTAGTAGTAGTAGCAGTAGTAGTAGTAGTAGTAGTAGTAGTAGTAGTAGCAGTAGCAGTAGCAGTAGCAGCAGCAGCAGCGGCAGCGGTAGCAGTATTAGCAGTATTAGCAGTACTAGCAGTATTAGCAGTATTAGCAGTATTAGCAGTATTAGCAGTATTAGCAGTATTAGCAGTATTAGCAGTATTAGCAGTAGGGGTAGGGGTCCGAACTGCTCCTTTTTTCACCGCATCTTTTTACCAACTCCTGCTTGCTGCTGCTCACTGCTCAAAGATATTCAGAGCAATTTATTGCTCTGAATATCTTTTTTCTGAGTAGGAGTCTTAGCAGGAGTAGCCACCAACTGGGCTACGGCTAGGAGTCCAGGTGAAGGGTGGTGGTCATGATGCATGTCCCCGATCCCTTCATAAAGATGCCTCCTAGGGCAAACCCAATAGCGAACATCTGTCCTTAGAGTTGTTTGACATGGCCCTGGTGCTCCTTAAAGGACGTGCACGTTCGACCGTAAACCGTCTAAATCCCCCAAACGGATGTCTCAGTCCAAACCAAGGGCCCTCAGTCATCGCCCACTTCATTTTGAAAATGATCGTCCCCATGAACCCTTAGGGAGTTATAAGCAAAGGCGACCTTTCCATTCCTGAACCCAAGACCCCACAGGTTTGATGCGCTTGGGAGTTGCTGAGAGTTCCCGACGCGCAGGTATCGAAGTTGGTGGACAGCAACGCCTTCGCTGAGCTTGCGATGGGTGAGGCCAGAGCCTCTCTTGGCAGCCTGGCTCTTCACGGTCTCCCAAAGCTTCGCCCCCTCAATCAAGGAATGAGAAAGATTTCCTTGCAGTGGCTGTAGGAGTGCTAGTGGAAGTGCGCTGTAAATGTAGCCATTATGTTGGATTACTACCTGGGCACCACTACGCTTGTGATTCTGCCATTTAGTCCCGCCCCTCCCCAACACGTCGTTTTGAAAATGCTCTGAATCAGTGTAGCCCTAAACTACGCTGGCGCAGCAGCTGTCCGCTCGAGAGCTCCCAATGAGTTTGGTGTTCTGAGTAAGGTGCGAAGTTTGTGTCCGATTCTGGATGGGTGCGTACCAAATTGAGGGCAGGTTGGTTCAATTCGGAATGTTCTCAAATGCGTCTAGAAGCGTTTCAACCTGGGGTCTCTTCAAGGTGGCGGGGTTCTTGGCACCCGAGAATCCCAAAACTCATGGGCTATGCACACCCCCCACTCCCCATTTGCACTGTTAAGCCCAAGGTCACGTGGACCTTTGCCAACCGGAGGGCTTGTCGTTTGCCTCTGCGGCTCTCAACAGCTCCTGGTACGAGGGCCTTGCAGGCATCTGCCAAGTGGAGACCGGAGGGCATACGCAAATGTGTGGCATTGCATGCATCTGAAACAACAACTTGCATCGGAAAAGACATAGGCTTGAGTGGGGGTTGTAGACGTTGATTGCTCATGTGGTGAGCCAAGCTCCTCACCGACTCTGGTTCTCATCAGTTCTCATCCTTTGATATTCGCCTCAGTGGTTTTCCCGCTATTCTGGCCATTTGTTGGCCGATTTGCGTGTTTTTGAAGAGCTCGGCTGGTAAACTGGTTCTTTTGCTTGCGACATGTGAGACATTGGGTCCCAGGGTGTTCATGAGAGGTGGGTCTGTGGTCTTCCGTTTCTGCCGAGCTGTCGCTAGCTGTCAAAGAACGCGTACCACGGGCTGTGAATGGACATGGTTGCAGCATTTGCAGGATTTTGACGTATGCGCAGGTTGGGCGACGGCCTTTCAGCACACTGGCTGTGCTTCCAAGCCCACGTTGATTCGAGGGGGTTGGTCTCAAGAGGCCCTTCCTGCACTTGCTCATCTGGTGAGCGGCACGACTTCGTGCCAGCCTTTTCTCCGACGTTTCTGGATGGAGCCTCCTTCATCGATCCCGCTGCCAGTACCAGACCCTCCGTCAACGCGAAGGTTTTCTCAGGTTTGGTCAGCATGGGTAAGAGTAAGATGGTGAGGAGGGTTCACGTGTCCTATCTGAGTACCCCGGAAAGTTTGTGGGACGTTTGCATTCTAAGTCTAACCGGGGTGCATGGGATGTGTCAGGCAGTTCACGGTCGTTCAGGTATCCTTCTGGTTGTACTAACGTGGCGAGTCCCTGCAGTCCCCTGTGCCCTGTTTCTCCTTCGCGTGTTTGTGACATCACTTGATTGCATCTTCTCGGATCTAGGATATTGCTAATCCTCATTTTGATTCCTGAACCAAAAAAGGCGAAACAACTTAAAGCAACCAAGAACCAAAATCTAACACGAGTTTTTGTTCTGTGTATCTCCCCTGGTTTCTTGCAAATTTGTATATTCTATGATTCTATGACCATGGAATTTTTTGGACACACATTGAAGAGGCCAAACCGTGCGACAGCTCACCGTGGTGTTTGCTGAGCTTGGCATGCTCAAGGACCTGGCCGTACGTGTATATATATGTATATATGTATATTATGTATATATATATATATATTTATTTATATTTATTTATTTATTTATCTCTATTTATAAATAGAATTTATTTACATACATATGATTTGGGTAGATTGCCATGTAATGATTTGCAGGGAGACTGTCAGTTTGAGTTCTCACACACTCACGCACACACACAGCCTTCCAAAACCGCCTGATGCCATAACACATAAGGCAGAAGCTGCACATAGGCTTCGGAAGAGGTGTCTTGTTCGAGGCTTCCTTCAAGCACTACTTCTTCCCTTTCATAAAAGGGAATGAGTTCCCAACTCAAGCCCTGGGGGGGCGTTCGGACAGGAGAAAGGTCTCTCATCCATAAGCACAGAAAAAGAGCGGCCACAGTCGTAACACAGTTGTAACACAGTTGTAACTAAGAGACCTCCCCTCTAAAGTTCCAAAAGCCCATCCTGAAACTTCCAGGAGCATCTGGACGACTTGGGGATGGAACCGGAGGACGGCCTCAGGGAACTTCGGGGCGCATGCGAGTTCAGCCCGCCCTGTTCAGTCATGAGCAAATGGCTTTGACCATGGATCACGACTCCATGACAGGATTTCCTTCTCAGGCTTTCCACGACATCCCTGCCGTTGTGTTGCGTTTTGGGTTCTCTGATGTATGTATTCTTGAAGTATTCTTGCCTTCATTCTGTGACTGTTCGTGCGTCGCCGTGGTGTTGTGGGCCTAGAGCCCTCCCCTCCAGGAAGGGGGTTGTCACAAGCTTCTTGCATGGATCTAAGCAAAGCAAAGCAAAGGTTTGTAAATCTTTCAACAGGCCAGCAACAAGTTAAGGGCGAGAGGTTGGACAACTCATGTGGGAGGGAACCTGCGGCGCTACTTCAATTTTCAATCATTGCAGCCCATACTTCTTGATTCCCGTACGACCCCTTAAACCCTTGTGAGGTTCCGTCGTAGTCCCACGAAATTTGTGAGCTCATCGTGTCCGAAGAAGCCGGAGCCGAATTGGGGCGTAGGGAGCGGAGCATGGCTGCCTCATTAACAGCGGCGAACGAAGCCATCTTCTTGAGGTCAAAAAGTCAACCCAAAGGAACTGGCACGCCCCCTGCATAGGGTCCGCCCAAACCCGGAGATACCCGAGCACGACACAGCACTACATGTTTGGACACTTTGGAACCGGATGTTGACAGGACTTGGACGTGGTGGCCAACGCATTTCGCAGGAGTGCAAAGCTTTTGTTCTCATTCTCATAGCAATCCCTACATGACGGTTGCAGCTGCAGCCCTACCCGAATCCAACGCAAAGCCCTGAAAGGGTCCTAGTCCTGCGTTTTTCTCCGCTTTGCAGGAGCATCGAGCTTGTACAGACTGCTGACATGGCAAAGACTTCACAGGCAAAGGAGCTGCTGGCAGATTCCGGCTGCCCCTCGGAAGGCTAAGCTATGCGAAGAACGTATCCAAAAGAGTGCTGTGCACATGTGATGATGACGGACACATTGAGAATTCATGATCGGCACGTCCCTCACTACTGCCTGCTGAGATGACCCTACTACTACTACTACTACTACTGCTACTACTACTACTACTGCTACTACTACTACTACTACTACTACTACTACTACTTCTACTTCTACTTCTACTTCTACTTCTACTTCTACTTCTACTTCTACGACGACGTCGACGGCCATCATTACCGGTATTATTTCTTTTAGGAACACCCGGCCTCTTCTGGCTCTTGGCTCAGCTGCTGAGGAGGAATGGTCGGGATTAAAACAATCCCGCAAACAGGCAGCATGTCATATGTCATCTGATTGTAGCATCGTCGTCTGAGGAAGTAGACTCAGTCATGAAAAACCTCGCACCTTGTGAAGTTTTATCATTTTCCAGTGACCCGGGTCATGGACGCCCAAAGCTACCGGGATCACTGCCTCATCATCGTGGGAAGCGGCAGTGCAGCTGAATTGCTTCTTGCGAGGCGGCGCCTTCGAGCGGGAGGCAGGTTGGTGCACTTGCAGATTGCTGGGCAGGAGGACAAGCGATTGCATGTGTCTGCCTTCGACGACTTAGAATGCTTTTGGTGGTTTCCCCCGAGGGGAACCAGCTCGGATTTTGGAAAGCGTCTGGGTGTGGTGACTTTCCATACGCGGTGGACCACGACAGGTGTCGCGTCAATACATCTCCGCGACGACCAGCAAGTTCAAATTTTCCGTGCCTCCGGGAAGATGCGGCACGTCAGAATCCTTAGTGCCGAAAACAACATTGAAGTGGAGATCTCGGGTGAGGTTATCTTGAATCCTGATCTCCAGACAGCGGCTACGCTGGACGTTGAGGTGGCTGATCCAGACCCTCAATGATAGTTCAGGATCGTTTTTTTTTTTTTTTTTTTTGTGGGGGGGGGGGGGGGGTTGTTTATGGTTTCAGTTTTTGTTTGTTATGGAGGCTTCCAATGATGCTCTCTTGTGTGGGTAGGGAAGCGGCGCCCAGGAGTTAAGACCCTGCGGAACGTATTCCTCTCGCAGTATGATCTGCTCGATGATGATCTTGCTGCCATGTTATGTTGCAAAGTGGCTGTTCTCGATGCATTATGAGCAGAATCTTGCTGAACATTATGAACACGTCCGTTGTTCAGTATTTAGATCCCGAAGCAAAATTGCCTGAACGTAAGCTCTAAACCCGAAACCCTAAGCCCTAAACCCTAAACCATAAACCCTAAACCCCAATAACCTTAAACCCTACACCCTAGACCCTAAACCCAGGTTTCGTTTGGGTTTGTTAGACTCAGGAATGCAGTCGCAGGGCAAGTTCCATGGTGGCGGGGAATGAGCATCGGGATACTGGACTTACCGCTTGGCTACGTGAGCCTGTATTAGCCCAAAGCCCAAAACTCTTAAACCTTGATTGGTATAGCTATGAAGACTGCTGCTGGAACGCTATTGTGACTTCTCTTGTCCCAAAATGCTGCTGCAGCCACTCCAGCTGCTGCTACTTTGGGTTGTGAATGTTGCGAATTCGCACAACTGCTCTGTCAGATGCCACTGCTGTTGCTTGTGTTTGTCGCCTTAGCTTGTGCGATTATTGCAGTTGCAGCTGCTAACACAGCTATTGCTGACACTGGCCTTCTCATTGCTGCTTAACATGCTGCTAGTGAGTTCACTGCAGTTACTCTACAGCCCCCATGGCAGTTGCTGCCGTGGTGGCTGCTAGAACGTTTGCTACAGCCACAGCTGAGGCTATTGGGCCTTTAGTTCGGCATGGACAGAATGTCTGGTGAGCGAGGGCCCCTCGTGGCATGCTTGCACTAAGACTCGGGACTATAGTGACATAGTGATGTGATAGCAAGCAATAGGTATATGAAGAACTCCGGTCATCGCTGTTGATGGGACAATGCTCTTAGACCTGAACCCTATAGACTGTTTTTTTTTGTCCGGTTTAGGGTCTAGGGTTTAGGGTTTAGGGTTTTGCTTCCGAAGTCAGGTGGCAATTGCATATCCGATCTCTGCCAACTGTGTGCGTTGTCGTGTTCCTGGCCAGCTCAGCGCAGCTGTCGGATGCCTGGCTGATGCAGCGCTTTGGGTTTAGGGTTTAGGGTTTGGGGTTCAGGGTTTAGGGTTAAGGTTGTAACGTTTAGGGTTTAGGGTTTTCCAGCAGCTTGTTCCTTCATCGTATCCTGAGACGCCACAGCGGTGCAAGATTCAAGTTTATGTCCATTCCGAAGCTTTCAGCTTGCAGTCATATCTAAAAGGGTTCATTTTATTATGTCGTGTATCAGGTTTCTGTGTCGTTTGCTTGGGAGGCAGGTTGTAGTTATACATGCATCGTTCATCACTGGTATACTCATACCGTAAACCCTAAACCCTAAACCCGAAACCCTAAACCCTAAACCCCAAACCCTAAACCCCATGTATATTCAAGATCTTTGTCTCCTGGGTTGGTGTGCTTGAGGGCCGGACCAGAGGTGCCGTGGGTAGGCGGCCCCTCTGGACAAGCTGCTGTGTCCGCCCTCCCCCCCCCCCCCCCCCCACCTAAACCCTAAACCCTAAACCCTGAACCCTGAACCCTGAACCCTAAATGCCAAGCCCTAAACCCTAAACCCGAAACTCTAAACCCTCAGCCCTGAGCCCTAAACCCTAAACCTTAGGAGCTGCCCATAAGGCCCATGTAGACCTGTTTCCCGGCTGCTTCTTGTGGAGCTCTCAAGAATGCAAGATGCATGCAAGGACACGCCGTCCGCCGCGCTCGGCATTACGGCCTTCAATGCCGTGGGTCCGTTTGTCTCCTACCTGGCCACCACAGCACGTCACCCTCAACGTCGGTGGGGCCCTTGTCTTCGGTGGTTCTTAGCCACTCTGGCTGGCACGGCTGGCTGCGTGATCCTGATGGGCGGGATTCTTGTTGCCTACGTTTACCTGTTGGCGCTGGGCAGGGTGGGATGTTATCAACATGCCTGCATTCAGGTCCCTATCCTAGATGCCTCGTATGCCGGTCACATACTAAGTTTGATCTTGTGGCGCCTCTGAGCAAAGCCCCAGGTGGTGACAGCCAGCATGTTTCTACCCGCCGCGACAGCCATGGCGGAAACGGGCATGGTGTCTTTCACGCGGCTGGCCTACACTCGCCTCGTGGTCGCCAGGCGTCCGCAGATACCAGGTGACATGTCTCGCTTTGTTATGCCAGTCATGGTCTTTGCCGCGCATGGCCTTTCCGAGTCGGTGCGACTCTCGGCCTTGCTATCTGGTGCCGCGAGAACAGGAAGCTTCTCGTGGATCAGCAGTGCAGCTTTGGGCTTTGCCTTGAATGCCTTAACTCGTCTCGGCTGGCTTCGGCATGCCTTCTTCTGCTGCACGAGATGCGTTTTCGGGGCCCAGTGGGCCATCTGGATCGCAGCACCAAATGGTTTCAGCAAGTTGCACGATGAGTTCAAGATCTATGGAGGCTATATTCGATTTGTGGCGCCTTGCAGTCTGATCATCGCGCGGGCCATCTACTACAGAGAGCTGTCATGGTCTGGGCCAGTGGCTCCAGCCTTCAACGCCGCCACAGCTGGCGTTTTCGTGACCTTGTTTGTGCTGGAAGTTCTGGAGGACGTTTTTGTGCTGCAAGAGCTTCTCCCTGCCGCCCCAATCCCCACAGAGGTTTTGGAGACCAATCTGCCAAGAAACAACTCTGATGCTGGTGCGCTGGTGAGCGTGGAGATGCGGCCAAACCAGGCCAAAGACTCTTCCTGGCGTGGGCAGGAACTGAGCCCTTCTGGCAGTAAGAAACTGAGCCCAGTTATGACAAACCAGTTCTCTGATCTGTCGAGCGTGCAACCTCAAGCCTCTCTGGGTACGCGCCGTGTGTCCTGGGGCTCCCGCTTGCGCCGGCAGCTTGGACAAGAACGCGAGGTGGTCCCGAGCATGTTTCTGCATGGCCTTCGAGAGATCAGCTTTTTGGAACAGCTTGGGTGCTGCGCAATAGCCTGCATGTTCACCCTGGCCTGGCTAGAGTTGACTTTGGGTCCCTCCAAAGCTCGTGGCTTCTGCCCATCCTCTTCTGCCCTCGACCCGATGGATCTGCTGTGGCGGCCCGTGCCCATGGCATGCTGACACCTAAATTGGTTGAAGCTTTTCCGCTTGTCACAGCGTCGGGTGACCGGGCAAAGACACTTTAAAATGTTTACCAGCGCCGAGTGGATATTTTTTTTGGGTGCTTGAAAAGGAGCATGGTATACCCAGTGCTGGATTCTGCGCAGTGTCTCAAGGTAGAAGGGTATTGCCTTCTAGGATTCCACCCCTTCGAGCTGGATTCTTTTTGCGGAAGTGCTAAACGATGCAGTACTATCGATGTTATTTCTTGGGGGCTTAGTGGCGGTGGTCACGGGATCACTACCGCGAGTACTAGTGACTAGTGACGTGACTGTCGTCATTGTGATCAAGCCCTAAACGCCCAACCACGAAGCTCCTATCCCTGCCTTGCTGTCGGTCCTGCGCCATGTTGGGCGCTCTCAAAGAAGCATGCTGCGTTTGTTGGACTTCTGCGTGTGGTGCCAGTTTAGGGTTTAGGGTTTCGGTTTAGGGTCAGGGTTTAGGGTTTCGGGTTTAGGGTTTAGGGTTTGGGGTTTAGGGTTTAGGGTTCAGGGTTCAGGGTATAGGGTTCAGCGTTTAGGGTTTAGGGTTTAGGATTTAGGGTTTAGGTTTAGGGTTTAGGGTTTATAGTATTGTTTATCGTAGTATAATTTGTGGTATGTTAGTATTGTTAATCGTCGTAGTATTTGGGTATTATCGTATTGTTAGTAGTAGTATTAGTTTAGTATTCTGGTATTGTGAATAGTAGCACGTAGCACTATTATAGTAGAATGCAACTATGGGGGGTACCCCCCCCCCCCCCGCTTGCCACATTCTGTAGTACTAGATTGCTTGTCGGAGACACCTTATACCTTCAACCAATCGAAGCTTTAGGCTTCGTTAGGGTTTAGGGTTTAGGGTTTAGGGTTTAGGGTTTAGGGTTTAGGGTTTAGGGTTTAGGGTTTAGGGTTTAGGGTTTAGGGTTTAGGGTTTAGGGTTTAGGCAGCGCTCGTTTTGGGCTTAGGCGTTTATCCTTGACCCTGAACCTCCCGAACAACGAAAATAGAAAGAAATGAAAACCAAGAACGGGAAGCGGGGTGGAATGTACTCCGACCACCGCCGCTCTCTATCATCGAAGTAAAGAAACACAAGCAAAAACAAGAAACGAGGGGGGGTGGAATTTGAGCAATGTCACTTCTCCACCAAAACACTGAAAATGACAATGAAAAACAGCGATTATCGAAGGGCAGAAATGAAAGCAAGGTGGAATGTAACATTCATTTTCTCTGCGTCGTAACACATTTTCAGTACCGATGATGAACATAGCAATAGATGAAACAACAAGCGAGGAGGGGTGGAGTTTTCTCGTACGACGACTCTCATGATCGAATCCACGGCACCAGGTTCAACACAGGCTCAACCCCAAGTTCAACCCAGGTGCAACCCAGGTTCGAACCCCGGGTTCAACTCAAATTCAATCTAGGTTCAACCTGTGTTCAAATTGTTTCGTGGCGAAACTGTGCAATCCACCCCTAGGTGTTTGGTCTCTGAGGACCGGTTTTCCTCCTGGCACTGTACAGGAGGTAACCAAACCTCCACTAGGCAAAGTGTGCCAAGGTTCAACAAACCTTCTCATCCCCTTTGGGGGGTTCAGGGGGGTAGCTGGAAACCTTAGGGAACCTTATAACCTTTGAACAAAAACTCACACTAGAGGATAAACCTCCTGCTCAACTGGGAGAAAGGCCATTCCCACTCCGACAGGAGGTTGCAGTTGGGACAGCTCCCCCGGTGCCAGGTTTTAGGGTTTAGGGTTTAGTAGGGTTTAGGGTTTCGGCCTCCGCTTGGAGGATAAACCTCAACTGCCCTCGGTGAAAACCCGTCACCCAGCCGGTAGGATGCACTGCTTACTTCCTGTTACTGTTGGTTAGTAGGGCATGAGGGAATACGGTACCATCTAGAATCCCTTAAAGGGTATATATAGGGGGATAAAGGGTACCTCATTTCTTCATTCCCTACGAACCAACAGTAAGTCCTGAGCAAGAAGAAAGCGATGTTATGGCTTGGCTTCATTGGGAGGCCGGACCTCTGTGCTTGCTTGACCCCTTTGGTTGAGGTCCGCTCCCACCTTGCTGCTTCAGAAACGCCGCGTTGCTGCGCAGACCTTCATGAACCAACCCAGCTAAAGAAGGCCGGGTACACTGCAGACTTGCCTTGTCCATGTTGATCAAGACTACACGCTTCTGCGTCGCGCCAGTCAAAGCGGCGCCACCTTCGCCAATGCAGCTGCGCCTGCCAACCACAAAGGTGCCGAAAACGAGCCCAAAGTTGGGAACAAGTTACGAATCCACATTTGGGTTCGGGTTTGCAGCAGGAAAGCAGCCCAGCTTGCCAAGAACGTCGTTCAAAAAGGAAACGATCGGATAGCTGATAAGCATAGGTCATCATATCGTCAGATTCCAGCTCATCATCATCTCGCTTGCCGCTTGCAAAATACACTCATGCACTCATTGCAAAGAATGCGGAAAACGGCTGCACATACCCGCGAGGTCATCAAGCACCTCACTCATCTGCCTCCATCCCAGATGCAATTTCATCCTTCACTCATCTGCTTCCATAGCATCTTGCTGTACCACAGATTCTTTCCTCCAGCTGCCGTACCACGGCTTCTCGCCTTTCAGCAGCACTCTTCTGCATCTTAAGCAGCTCGCTCGCTCAGTCGCTCTCTCTCTTTCTCTCTCTCCCTCCCTCCCTCTCCCTCGCTTTGAGACTCCTCCTTCTTCAACAACCCTTCCAGCCCTTCTCCGCTATGCTGACCCAGACTACTGTGCTCAGGCGCCCAAGCTGGCTTTCTTGAGTTGTGTTGTTCAAAGAAGCGAAAAAGAAGCGAACCCAACCCACAAGTTTGTGAAGTTAGACCCCTCGTTGGCCATGAGTTCGGCGATGCAGGCAAGGCGATGGATGTTTCCTGGATGTGTCCCCTGGTTGGTGCTTTAGCTGGCGGAGAGTTTGAGCGGGCACAAGGCTGTCCGTAGGCCCGAAGCTCTAAGCCTAAGTCCTAAACCCTAAACCCTAAACCCTAGACCATCGAGATTTTTGTGGCAGAGGTCTGCGGCCATGGCCTCGCTCTGATACTAGCGGCCCTGTACAAGGATCTCTCTACCATGATTTTGTTAGGACATGTCGGGCCTCGGGCCTGCTTAATCTACATCCCCCTTGGGATTTTTCTTATTATGTTTGTGATTTTTTCGTTAAAAAAAAAACCCAAGAGGATTTTGAACATGTTAGTTTTATTTAGGTTGCATATAAAGGAGTAGAGTAATGGCTTCTTCAGGGGCCATTGCTGGATGGTAGAACCCACGTCATGTTCGAGTTGGTGATCCTTCGCTGAATGTTTTGGCTCCATGCGTTCTCACATGGCAAAAGCCTTTTTTCGTTCGATTGCAGCTCCAAGAGCTCAGTCGGCATCCAACAGATTGAATACCAAAATAACTCGGGAGGTTACTCCCAGAGGCTGCTCAACGTCATGGATGAAGGCCGTCTCGTCCTCTGCACTTGTGTGGCTTCTGCTCTGCTGGCAGCGCACTGGCACATATCAAAGAGGGACGTGAAAGCCATGATCTGGCACCTGGCGGGAGCCTTTCGAATCCTGGAGAAGACAGTTTCTTGGGCATGAGGCGCCCTATATCCCCCTGTATACACTTTAAGGGTTTATATATATATATATATATACATGTTCATACATGGTACCTCATTCCCTCATTCCCTACTAACCAACAGTAAGGTTTCTGGCTCCGCCCCGGAAGTGCCGGATCTCAGCCTCTTGGATCGCCGAGTTGAGACGGAGTTGGGCCACGTACGTGTGGCCATGTTCTTGGATTTCACCAGACTCTGCATTCACCCCACCTTCGTGCTGCTCCTGGTGTCTGGAGCGGAGTTTGCCCGCGAGCCCAGCTTCTGCTGTGGGAGCTGGCTGGCGGGCTTGTCACTTGTGTATCTTGCCTACTATCCGCTTCTTCAAGGCTGGGTCACTATGACGCCTTCTCGCATGGTCTCGGGGAGGATCCTCCTGCGCACGGTCACTTGGGTAGCCGCAGTTGGAAGCGGTTTCGGTGACAGAGACAGCTTCCCGGGACGCATGGGCATCCTTCTTGGATCCCATGTGTTGACGTCCATACTCTTTCGGGCCGGAGCAGGGACTGTAATTGACTGCTTGTGCACGACTGTCGTCTGGATGTGGGCCACGACACAGATCTATGGCCAGAATGCAATGAACCTTTGGCTTGTGGTGTTCCACCTGGCTTTCCAGCTGTTGGTGTGCATCGGTGTGCCGTTCTTGCTGGAGCGTACTCTGAGGGAGCGCATCATCATGTCCTTCCAGTCGCAGGACTCCAACTCGCTGATTGCTGGCTTTCGTCAGATTTTGAAAGGAGTTTGTGATGGCGAGTTGCTCTTGGACAACAACTTCCAGGTTTGCGGCAGCGCCCCATGCCTGCAACGCCTGCTGGCAAGCAATAAGGACTTCACGGGTTGCTGTTTTCGAGAGCTCATCGACGACGAGCTGTCGCAACTAGTTGCAGATTGGCAAGAGTTGCTCGCCCTTTTGTGTGGTCATGAAGTGAATCTATGCATGTCCCCTAATTCTTAAGCCCAAAACTTCGGTTTAGGGTTTAGGGTTTATAGTTTATGGTTTAGGGTTTAGGTTTCTGCAAAGGCAGAGTCTGTTCGACAGCTTCTTGGAGGCGAGTGGACCTACGGGGCACGAGGTAGCCCACGTCAGCAAGGAAGGGGCGCCCCGCTGCCTCCGAGTCCCCCTCAGGGCATCTTCGGCTGCAGAAGATGTGTCGTCGATGTTGTTTGAGGTTCAGGGTTTAGGGTTTGGGGTTTAGGGTTTAGGGTTTGGGGTTCAGGGTTTAGGGTTTAGGGTTTACTGGTCAGTAGGACATCTTCCTGTGGTGGGTCTACTGGGATTTCTTACATGTGTGCATGGTGTGCCGTTGTAGCACTTTCGTTGTGCAGACCGGCATCGTTGGGCAAAAGCTTGTGACCCTAAACCCGAAGCCCTAAACCCCGAGATCCTGTGTGGGCAAGGATGGAACTGGTCCGCGTGCGTCGGTGGACGTCTTTCACGTGCCGCTGACACCTGGGCGTTGATTGGAACTGTTCTCATGTTTACGTGACCCTAAACCCTCAACCCTAAACCGTAAACCCTAAAGCCTAAAGCCTAAAGCCTAAACCCCAAACCCCCAAGCCCCAACCCTACACCCAAAGCCCGACACCCTAAACCCTAAACTCGGCTTTCGCCAGCAGAGTTGAGGCCACCCAGTCTCTATGGTGCAAATGCGACTTTCCATCTGTCGCTTGGCTTTGGATGTCATCGCACAAGGGACCCGAGTTGCCGCCGAATCCCTGTATTAGGTTTAGGGTTTGGGGTTTTAGGGTTTAGGGGCAAGTGTATGACATTGCAAGTGTTGATGAGCAAGCAAAAACGGTACCAATGGCGGTAGCAGTAGCACTATGAGTTAGCAAGAGCAAACGCAGTTGCAGTCGCAATATCAGATCGCCAGGAGAAATAGCAATAGCCATGGTGCAACAGCAACAGGACTAGGCATAGCAACAGCCAATTTTTTCCAGGTTTAGAGTCTCAGGGTTTGGGGTTGAGGATCCTGTGGACTGTGTTCGGGGTCGTGCGAGCAGGAGCGCGCAGAGTTTGGGCCATACCGGGTCTCCGAAGCTGCCTGGGGTTCAGGGTTTAGAGTTCAAGGTTTAGGGCCTGGGGTTTAGGTGTGTGTGAGGGGTGTGCGTGCCAGAAACGGTGGGGCGTAGCTGAGGCTCGCCATGGCAGAAGACATTGATTGCCGGACGCATCCCGAGGCACTTTTGCCCAAGTCGTGTTCAGCGAGTCAGGCTCTTATGTTCGCGGGTTACCCTAAACCCTGGACCCTGGACCCTAAACCCTAAACCCTAAACCCGAAAGGGTTTCAGTCCAGCTCTATGCACTGCCTGTTCAAATGAGTGGCCCTACCGTGAGCTCGCGCCTCTTCTGCAGCTTGCGCGGTCATTGGCACGGGCGCAAGCGGAAGTACGGTAGAATTCCGGTTAAGCCTGGGCATAAGCCCCCGAGCGTCGGAATCTCCGTGGAGGCCCGTTCCTCGACCCTCTCTATTTAGGCCCAGAAAGGGCATCAAGAGCCCGGAACCGATCCTAAGCAGACCCCAACGTGCACTTGCCTTTCAAAGCAAAAGGCCCCCGGAAAACCTTCAGAAGGCTCCGAAGGCCACCACAAAACACCAAAAAGGCGCCGAAGAGGTTTCAGACATGCCCACCACCCCGAAAAACCCCCCAAAACCTCTTTGGTCACAGAAGTCTTCCACAAAGCCCAACACCTTTGAAAGAAGGCTGGACACAAAGGAGTTTTCAGCAAAGCACAAAAGAAGAAATAACAAAGGACAAACCCGGCCAAAACTCTGGACCTAAACCCTATACAGTTCCTATAACCCCAAAACCTTAAAGCTGTAGACCTTTAGTTTCATGCCCCCGGAAACAGACAACAAGCTGCGACCTGAGTTTCTTCGTCTTTTGACCATAGGCCCTAAACCTTCAACCCACAAAGCAATCAGCGCCCACCCTAAACCCAAAACCCTATAGCACCCGCGATGGGCCCGGAACGGGAGCTCGTTCTCCTCGGGACCAGTACTCTTCACCCTGGCGACCATCGGCGACGGCAAAGAGTAGGTTAGGGTGGCTTTGCCGCCTTGGACGGCGTGGGGTGGGAGAAAGGTTTTACATGGCCCTCCACTATCGGGCCAAAGCTACTTGAGCTTCTGCTGCATCCTAACCTTCACAGAATCTACGCCATCTTACAGCAAACCCTACACCCTACACCCTAAAGCCTAAACCCTAAACCTTAAACCCTAAACCCTGGACCCTAAACCCTAAACCCTAAACCCCCCTAAACCCTAAACCTAAACCCTAAACCCTGCACCCTAAACCCTAAACTCTAAACTCTAAACCCTAAACCCTAAGCTAAACCCTAAGCTAAACCCTAAGCTAAACCCTAAGCCCTAAACCCTATCCCCTAAACCCTAAACCCTAAACCCCCAAAACAAGCAGGCAGACCCGACTTCCCAGAACGAGCCTCAGCTGCATTGGAGGATGGCCATCCGACAGTCTGCAGCCGCATTGGAGTAGGGTTTAGGGTTCAGGGTTTGGGTTTAGGGTTTAGGGTTTCGGGTTTAGGGTTTAGGGTGTTAGGTTTTTAGGGTTTCAGGGTTTCACAATCCGTGAACAAAATTCGTGGGCATAGGCCCAAAAGCGGGTTTTGGGCCTTGCCCACGAGTTTTTGGCCTTGCCCACGAATTTTTGGGCCTTGCCCACGAGTTTTTCAGCCTTTTGCTTCGCGGGACCCAAAAATTCGTGGGCAAGGCACAAAATTCGTGTTGTTTCACAGCCCCAGGGCCTGGTTTTTAGGGTTTCAGAGCCTCAGGGCCTGGCATTTAAGGTTTCAGGGCCTCAGGGCCTGGCGTTTAGGGTTTCAGGGCCTCAGGGCCTGGCGTTTAGGGTTTCAGGGTTTCAGGGTCTGGCTGGCTCTTAGGGTTTCATGGTGTCAGGTCGAGGCCGGGTGTTTAGGGTGTTTACTTTGTGGTGCTTTACTGTGACTTTACATCTTTAGCCTTTTTGGGTTTATTGGGCTTCTTAAGAAGGCAGCTAAAAATTAAATTTATGGCTACCCTGCTAAGAGCAGCCAAGCTTAGGGTTTCAGCGCCTCAAGGCCTGGTGTTCAGGGCCTCAAGGCCTCGCGTGGTTAAGCATTTCCACCTTCTCGTTCGTTAAGTGGTGGTCATGAGTTTTGTTGTTGAGCCATCTTCATAATCAAAAACTTTGTATTTCTTAATGTTAAGGGAACTTCGGGTGGGTATTCTTCGATGTTCTAAACAACGAGCCCTAAACCAAAAGCGGGTTGACCAGGAGCTGTTGAACTCTAAACCCTAAAACCTAAACCCTAAACCCTAAACCCTAAACCCTAAACCCTAAACCCTAAACCCTAAACCCTTCTGCAGAGATCGGGGGCCACGGATGCAGGCTCTCCCGAGCAGCCTCCTGGCAAACAGAGGCGCCTCGTCACAGCGGTCCGAAGCGAGCACTGCCACTCCGGCTTGAGGTTCAGGGTTTAGGGTTTAGGGTTTGGGGTTTAGGGTTTGGGGTTTAGGGTTTGGGGTTTCGGGTTTGGGGTTTGGGGTTTAGGGTTTAGGGTTTGGGGTTTGGGGTTTAGGGTTTGGGGTTTGGGGTTTAGGGTTTGGGGTTTAGGGTTTGGGGTTGAGTTTCGGGTTGAGGGTTCGGGTTCAGGGAGACGTCCGAAGAGTTTTGCTTGGCTATGACTTGGGAGTGCATGAGGGCGGGATGTCCCACTCTAGGGGCTCTTGGCTTGCAATGCTTTGTCAGTGCATTCAGTGAGAAGCTGGCGGGTTAGGGTTTGGGGTTTAGGGTTTGGGGTTTAGGGTCTAGGGAGCCCTAAGCCCGAACCTCACACCCCCGAAGTTGGTCATGATTCGTCTCTTGACCACGCAGTCGTGGAGCGTTCTTGTTGTGCCGTAGCTATTGCCTTCCGCCGGGAAACAAGTGGCGAGTTTAGAACTCAACCAGCGAGTCTAGCTCGGGAAAACACGCGGGAAAAGTGCAAAAAAATAAACAAAGGCTGTGCAGTGAGTCTTAAAGCTGAAACCTCAAACCCTAAACCCTAAACCTTCTTGCGTAGTTCATCGTCATTCGTTCCAGGGCCGCTGCATGTCTTCGTTTGTTTTGCAAAAATTTGGGGAGCTACACAACCCATAAGGCACGCGGCCGGTAGGGTTTAGGGCTTAGGGTTTCCGGCCCCAGTCTGATCCTAAACCATAAACCCTAAACCCTAAACCCCAAACCCTAAACCCTAAACCCCAAACTGCAGAGATGGCCCAAGGAGACGCAGGTGCAATGCTGGGATGAACTCGCGGAGATGACGCTCTTGTTGAACACCGGTACAGAGCTCATGGACATTGAGGAAGCCAATTAGCAGCTGAATGAGTACACTTTACACTTTTTGGGATACGATGAATCCCCTGTAGAACTGAAAAGTGTGCACTTTTTTGGGGGGGCTGATGAACTTAGCAACTAAGGCCCACTTGCGATTTGTGCCCGGGCTGAAGTAAAGGGGGGGGGGGGGGGGGGGGCGGCGCTTCCGTGCTTGGAGTTGACACCTTTACGCCCGCCTGCCACCTGTGATCTCAGGAGCGCCACACTCACAAAGCCGAGGCACAGCTCGAATTTTCAGCCCCAAAGCGCCCCAAAGAGCCCCTAACTATTTACCCTAAACCCTGAACCCTAGAACCCTAAAGCCTAAAGCCCTAAACCCTAAAACCCTAAAACCCTAAAACCTTAAAACCCTAAAACCCTAAAACCCTAAACCCTTTACCCTAAACCCTCAACCGCAGGTGCGACTGGGCATGCCCACTTTGAAACGGTTCGCCCGCCCGCTGGACTGGTGCGGCATCGAGGGCGCGCTCCGCCACTACACGCGACAGGTCCGCAAAACGCAGGCGCGCGGCGAGGCCCGCCGCCAGCGGGCGTGTCCTGTGATTTTCTGTGATTTAACATGTTCTGGGTTTAGGGTTTAGGGTTTAGGGATATTCATTCTTCTTCTGCCATACTGTATTAGAACTGCTGCTCCGTGTTCTTTGTGTAGCTGCCAGGCTTTGCCGAAGCAGGCGTGGGGCAGCTGTGGGGGCCTCCATTGATTGCTCGATGGGGCCCTTGCGATTTGCAAGTTGCTCTGTTTTTTGAAGCAACGCTAAGACATGGCTTTCGCAAACAGGGTGCTTAAGGCTTTAAGAGGAACCCTAAACCCTAAACCCTAAACCCTCAAAAGCAACCTTATGGATGTAGGAGTCCGGTCCGGTCTGCAAGAGGTGCTGCCGCCGCTGATGCTCCGCGAGTTGAGTAACTCGAGGAAGCACATCCTAGCCAGGCAGAGTGGCAGATGCAGGGTTGGGGCTCAGGGTCTGAGAGAGAGAGGGAGAGAGAGAGAGAGAGAGACAGACGGACAGACAGACAGACAGCCAGCCAGAGAGAGAGAGAGACAGACAGACAGAGAGAGAGAGAGAGAGAGAGAGAGAGCGGGAGAGAGAGCGAGAGTGAGTGAGTGAGTGAGTGAGTGGTGAGTGAGTGAGTGAGTGAGTGAGTGAGTGAGTGTGTGAGAGTGTGAGAGAGAGAGACACGCAGACAGACAGACAGACAGCCAGCCAGCCAGCCAGAGAGAGAGAGAGCGAGAGACAGAGAGAGAGAGAGAGAGAGAGACACCTTGGTGGAAGCCTGGAACCCCCAGCCTATCACACCAGAGAGGCCACAACAGCAACTCCCCCCAACGGACCCTGGACACACTCGCGCACCTGGGGGCGGCCTTCCTTCGGGGGGGCCATGCGCACAGAGAGAGAGAGAGAGAGAGAGAGAGAGAGAGAGCGAGAGTGAGTGAGTGAGTGAGTGAGTGGGTGGGTGGGTGGGGGGGTGAGAGAGAGAGAGAGAGAGAGAGAGCGAGAGAGAGAGAGAGAGAGAGAGAGTGAGAGGGTCAAGCTGGGCGCGCAACTTGCGCCGGGGTGGGGTGGGGGTATCTCCCCTGAAGCCTCTCGAAAAACACGTCAAGAAAAGAGAGGAGAGAGAGAGAGAGGGAGGAAACAGTCTCTCTCATGCCCGGCCAATGTTCAAACAGACTTAGTGTGACATGCAGGCAGGGTGCGCGTCGTTCGCCCTCAAGCCCTAACGAAACAAACAAAGGCAAGCAAACAAGCAAACAAAAAAAAAGACAGAAAGAAGGAGAGATGGAGATGGAGATGGAGATAGACATAGAATGTAGAAGGAGCCATGAGTGGCAGCAGTAGGACTGCCGGTGCTGCTCCACCTCACTAAACCCTAAACCCTAAACCCTAAACCCTACAGTAAACCCTACATCCTAAACCCTAAACCCTAAAACTTTGCCACAGGTCGGTGACCATCAGTTCTCCGTTTCAGCAAGACAAGGACGAGCCTGTCTTCCTCTACATGCACATGATGGACTTTAGGGCACCAGGCCCTGCGAAGTCAATGCCGCTGGCAGCCCTCAATGAGCGAGCGTGTCCTGTCCTGATGATTCCCGCCCCGGCATTTAGGGTTTTGGGGTTTATAGGGTTTAGGGCTTATAGGGTTTAGGGTTTAGGGTTTAGGGATACCGATTTAGGGTTTTAGGGTTTATAGGGTTTAGGGCTTGGGGTTTAGCTCTTCGGGATGAATGTCAGTCCCAACTCTGTTAGTTCCCTGCCGAATTGTGGACGGATTCACGAGGGAACCCTGTACCCTGACCCCTAAACCCTAAACCCTAAACCCCAAACCCCAAACCCCAAACCCCAAAACCTAAGCCCACAGATGAAGTTGGCCAACAAAAGGTTGAGTCAGCCGTCGGAGTTGCCCTCAGAACCATCAGGCCAGCGAAGGCCAGATTCCAGCAGCAGCTCTGTTTAGGGTTTATAGGGTTTATAGGGTTTAGGGTTTAGGGTTTAGGGTTTATAGGGTTTATAGGGTTTATAGGGTTTATAGGGTTTATAGGGTTTATAGGTTTATAGGGTTTATAGGGTTTATAGGGTTTATAGGGTTTATAGGGTTTATAGGGTTTATAGGGTTTATAGGGTTTATAGGGTTTATAGGGTTTATAGGGTTTATAGGGTTTATAGGGTTTATAGGGTTTATAGGGTTTATAGGGTTTATAGGGTTTATAGGGTTTATAGGGTTTATAGGGTTTATAGGGTTTAGGGTTTAGGATGTAGGATTTAGTGTTTTGTTTAGGGGTTAGGGGTGGGGGGTCTATGGGTCAAACAAGGTTTATCCACGGCTGATTTGGGCTTGCGAAGGGAGTATGGGCGCTTATCATCTGGAGATTCTACTCACTACAGTAATCCTCAAGAATCTCGAACTGAAGCCTACGTCCCCAGGGGTGTGTAGGGTTGTTCGGCTGGGGCTCAACTTGGTTTTCTCAAGGCTTCACCGAATGACTGCTTAGGTTTGAGGGTTTATTTCTCATAGTAGGTCCCCACAAATTTCTGTTAATCTACTCTGAAATTCCGAAGCCTCAACAACATCTGCCCTGAACCCCAAACCCAAGACCCTGAACCCACAACGCCAGGCCAGGAACCCTACGTAAACCCTAAACCCTAAACCCCAAACCCTAAACCCTAAACCCTAAACCCTAAACCCTAAACCCTAAACCCTAAACCCTAAACCCTACACCCTAAACCCTAAACCCCAAACCCCGAACCCTGGATGCCCTAAACACTGTTCATCTGTCGAAGGCGGCGATCGAAACGCGAGCAAGCCAGAGGAGCCCCCCCTACGGAGCTTCCAGACTAGCAATTTGGGTTTAGGGTTTAGGGTTTAGGGTTTAGGGTTTAGGGTTTAGGGTTTAGGGTTTAGGGTTTAGGTTTAGGATCTAGCGATTGGGGTAAGTGCGGCGTAGTGTACGGGAGAACCCGCAGTGAACCAGAGCCCGCCAACCCTCTAATCCCGTATTCTATCGTGTGTGGTGTTAGGGTTTAGGGTTTAGGGTTTAGGGTTTAGGGTTTAGGGTTTAGGGTTTAGGGTTTAGGGTTTCGGAGTTGATCTGAGTTTTGTTTTTGCACCCAGGACTCATTGGTTCTTAGTTTTTGAGTCCTGAGGCCCGAAAACGAAAGGGAATGCGGGGCGGAAGCCCCAATTCCAGTGACCCACTGTCGGGCTGAGGGATCCGCAAGATATGTGGGTTTAGGGTTCCGGGTTGTATGGGTTTAGGGTATTAGGAATTTCGGGGTTAGGGTTTGAGGGCGGCGCGCAGGACCAGTTCAGGAGAGGCGGGGGTTTCGGGTTTCGGTTTTGCTTCCGCAGGGAGGGCTACAGGATGCCAACATGCCTCACAGCTTAGAGTGCAACCTCTGTCAGTCCAATGTAGTTGGAAGTCATAGGGACCCTAAACCCTCAACCCTACCTAAGCCTTAAACCCTAAACCCTAAACCCTAAACCCTAAACCCTAAACCCTAAACCGAAGCTTGCAGGTTGGAGAGTGAAGCTGGTCAGCCAGGGTGATGGCAACGGCAAATAGAGCTTCCAAACCAAACCTCAAGGGGACTGCTTCAAACAACACCTCTGCCAAGTGCAGAAGGCAGGGTTTAGGGTTTAGGGTTTAGGGCTTAGGGCTTAGGGTTTAGGGTTTAGGGTTTAGGGTTTAGGGTTTAGGGTTTAGGGTTTAGGGGTCTGTTGTGCGCTTCAGGGTCCAGTTTGACAGCGTGTGTGCGAAAGCGGGGCTCCTGCATTGAGAGTAAAGAAGAGGCCTAATTGTCCTGACCGTTGTCAAGGAAACCCTACACCCTAAACCCTAAACCCTCAACCCTAAACTGAGTGAGCCCGGGGCCGTCGAGCAGGGCGAACGCACCGAAGCCGGCAGGCGAAGCTCCGGAGCCAGAAGCCCTCCAGCGGGCGACGGAGCTCCAGTCCCGCAGGCAGCTGCGGGCTGCGCGGTGGACCCGGCAGGTCGCTGGCGAGAAACCCGTCAGGTCGCCCTAGAATAAGATACCCCAAACCTTCGGGTAAAACATGGCAACCGCCTGGCCGTGGCCCTGGCTCTGGAACTGGCCCTGGCCCTGGGCCCTGACCCTGGCTCTGGCCCTGACCCTGACCCTGGCCCTGCAAGCCTTGGCCCTTGCCCTGGACCGGCCCCCTTTACAAGCAAGCCTTGGCCTGAGGTCTTTTGCAAGGGATCCAGATCCCCAACCAGGACACAGCATCAAGGGTGAAGGCGGCAGCCAGCCCCAAGCCCAAACCTTCGGGTTTTTTGCACTTTTAACAAGAATTGCTGTGAGGCTGGACTGGATCTCCTGCTTGCCGGACCCTGCCTAAAAAGGCAGGCCTTGGCGTGAGGCCCCTTGCTGGGATGCCCTTTCAAGCAAGGCCCTGGCCCTGGCCCATGGCTGTGGCCTGCTGTGAGAGGATGTGTGCTTACCAGAAACCTTTGAAAGCAAGCAAGCCTTGGCCTGAGGTCTTTTGCAAGGGATCCAGATCCCCACAACCAGGACGCAGCATCCAAGGGCGAAGGCGGCAGCCAGCCCCAAGCCCAAACCTTCCGGTTTTTGCGCTAGAAAGAATTGCCCTGAGGCTGTGGCCTGCTGCCTTGGACTGGATCTCCTGCTTGCCGGAAACCTTTTGCCTGAACCCTGCCTGAAAAGCAGGCCTTGACCTGAGGCCCCTTGCTGGGAGGCCCTTTCAAGCAAGGGATCCAGATCCCCAACCAGGACGCAGCATCAAAAAGGGCGAAAGCGGCAGCCAGCCCCAAGCCCAAACCTTTGGGTTTTTGGCGCTTTTGGAAAGACTCACAAGGCCACCACGCCTCCAACAAGGCCTTCCAGATGCAGCATCAGCTGAAGCAAAGGCAGCAGCAGCCACCTGTCCCAACCCTTTGACTTCAGGCGCGATTGCGGCAGCCAACCCAATCCCAAACCTTTGATGTTTTGGCCCTCCCAGAAGCCCTCGAATGATGGACAGCCAAGCCCAACAGCCATTAGAAAAGACAAAAACAACAAAAGATGCAGCATCAGCATGGCGAAAGCCCAAAGCTTTAATTTCACGCCCTTCCAAGCAAGTTTTCCAAATTCCCGCCAAACACGCAGCATCGCCGAGGGCGAAGGCGGCAGCCAACCCCAAGCCCAAACTTCTGATTTTTGGGGAGAGATCTTCTAAACCCAACCAATAGACAAGAGAAAACAACAACAGCACGATCAGAGTTCAAAAGAACCCTCAACCCGTAGAGGTTAAGGCGAGGGTGGAGCGCCAGCGGGGGTGGGCTTATGCAAATCGGGGCGCGCGCCTGGATGCTTTCAGCACCAGCGCGCCCACTCATTGAGACACCCTAAACCCTAAACCCTAAACCCTAACCCCTAAACCCTAAGGCTTCGTCTAGGTGCAGGTGCGCATGTTGGCTCGCCTATCCCGCACTGCCTGTGGGTCGTTTTTTGGGTTAAAGCCACTGTGTTTTGGGTGTCACCTGTGCCTTCTCGCACTTTCGCTTTGCATTCAGGAAGCCCCAAAAAGAGGTAAAAAACACCCCAGGGAGACTGCAATTTTGATGGCTATCTTTGCCCTAAACCTTAAACCCGGCATTTTTGCAGTCGGATCGCTCTGGGCCTTTGCGGTCTTTTGGAGGTGTTTGCTTCTCGTCCTCCTCCAAAGCGGATTTGAGTTTGGGGTTTAGATCGTCCCGGGAGTCTTGTTTCGGGGCTCTTAGAATGTTGTTGGGATTGAAGTCCTGGGGTTTAGGGTTTAGAGTTTAGGGTTTAGGGTTTAGGGCTGAGGGTTTAGGGTTTAGGGTTTAGGGTTTAGGGTTTAGGAGAAGACTCTAGTCGTCATCCACAGTTTTGAGGGGCTAGGCCGGCATTGTCGGGTCCGTATCAAAAGAGCATGAAGCAGTCCCAGCGTCTCACGCCCACTGACACCTGAGTGCTGGCTTTTTCCGACCAAAGCCGTCGTTTAGGGTATCAGGGTTTAGGGTTTAGGGTTTAGTGTAGGGTTTACGGTTTAGGGTTTAGGGTTTAGGGTTTAGGGTTTAGGTTTTAGGGTTTAGGGTTTAGGGTGCGGCTGTAGTGCCGTTCATCACCCGACACTACAGGTAGCACAATTTGTGTCAAATGCTGGCGATGCTCTGCAAGGTTTTTCGTCTTTGCGGGTTGAACCCTGAACCCTGAACCCCAAACCCTAAACCCTGATTCCAGGATCGCATGTGTCCTTATGTTGCCATGCCAGTTCTCGGGCAAAGATTGAGGACCTTCGGTGTAGAGAGTTTACACATCCGGGCGAGGGATAGTCAGGTATGCCCCCAGCCATGTTTATTAGCCAACACCCTAAATCGTACATTCTATCCCTAAACCCTAAACCCTAAACCCTAAACCCTAAAGCGGCCCCAAGCCTTCTTGGACTTCACTGTAGCTCTCAGTCCGGGCAAGCAGGTCCCACAAGCTTGAACATACTAGGGTTCAGGGTTCAGGGTTTAGGGTTCAGGGTTTAGGGTTTAGAGTTTAGGGTTTAGGGTTTAGGCATGGAATATACTAGGGTTTAGGGTTCAGGGTTTAGGGTTCAGGGATAGAAGATACTAGGGTTTGGGGTTCAGGGTTGAGGGATATAGGGACATAGGCGGCGCAGCTATTTCGGGCCAAGTCTCCTTGGTAGCAACCGCCCTGCTATGGCCACTTCGTGTGTCCGATGCCAGAAAGCCAAGGACGGCCAAGCACTTCATCTTTACTGCGGCTTGGGCCGGCATGTAAGTTTCTTGGGAAGCTTCGAGACTGAGGCCAACTTGAATGGTACGCCAAACCCCAAACCCCAATCCCCGAACCCTAAACCCTAAACCTCATTTAAGCCCAGCTTAGGCAAAGCGTGCTGGCTCACATGGGGAGAGCTCGTCAAACCGGGTGGCAAGTACGAGCTGCCGGCTGAGGCAGAAGCTCTGGCCAACAGGGCTGGTGTGGTGATCCTCTCACGGAAGAAGAAGAGCAGAGCAGGGATGTTCCAGTGTCAGAAGTGCGATCTGACTCTGGGCCATTGGGGCATTCTAAACCACTTGTTCATGGAGCACAACTCGACATGCCACCGGAATCGCTCGGAGACCTCCGCGAGCTCTACTGTCGACACGGTCACATTGCTGCACTGTGCGTGTGTCGAGTTTTGAAAGGGACCCCAGAGCTCTCGTTTTAGCAGCTCTGTTTTTTCTCAATTCGTCATTCCATGCTGCGAGGAAGATGCGGATGCTGGCCAGTCTTCAGCATCCGACTATGACGGTGATCGGGCGGCCTGCTGGGAGTACCTGGCCTCAGACGAAGGCACGCAGCAAGTATGGCAGACCTTTTGGCCGGACGCGCAGGAGGACCGAAGCTTGCTGATGAACTGCGTCCCTTGCGTCCTGTGGCACCTTTGGTTAGCATGGTAGAGTGTGGGTTTAGGGTTTAGGCTTTAGGGTTTAGGCTTTAGGGTGTGGCACATGTTTTCCGTGCAAGCCTCCTCTGTTGACAGGAGATCAGGCAGAAGCACGATGAAGATGAGTCGCAGACCTTCCAGCTCCAAACGAATGGGGTCCGTTATGAGATCGATTTGCTCAACCGGGTTCAGAGAAACATCCACACCGGTCGCGAACGGCGAATTCGCCTGGAGCATAAATCAGGCAGCGGTGCGCTGCGGAACCTAGTGCAGAAATGGCAGAGTTACTCGTAGAAGATCCCTATTTTATGTGGTGTGAGTCTCTGTCAGTTACCCTAAACCCTAAACCCTAAACCCTAAACTCTAGAACCCTAAACCCCAAACCAACCCTAAACCCTAAACCCTGAACCCTGAACCCTAAAACCTAACCCCTAAACCCGAAACCCTAAACCCTAAAACCTAAATCCTAAACCTGCCTAGGATGCTGCTGCAGCAGGAAAGGGTGAACTACGAAAAGCAGATCGAAGACTTGCAGCAGGACGTGACCGGAAAATCTGTCCTTCTTGACAGCAAGGCCGCTGAAGTGTTGTCTCTGAAGAACAAGAACACAGCACTTGAGGGTCGGCTGGTCGAGTTGGCAGAAGAAAAGGACGCCGAGATGCGTTCCATCAAGGCAAATGCTGCAAAGTTGGCAGACAAGAGGGATGCAGAGATTCGCCGCCTAAAGAGCACTGCCGAAGACTCAGAAGTTCAACAGCTGGTGCTCGGGCGCCAGCTCAAGGACTTGGCAAAGGAGAAGGATCAAGAGGCTTCCCTTCTTCAGAAGCAGGCAGGTTTGCGTCGGTACGGTTTCGCGTGGAAGTTCTGATTCCTACTTTCAGTTTTCTACTGTTTAGGGTTTAGGGTTTAGGGTTTAGGGTCCTACTTCCAGTCTTCTATGGTTTGTATACCACATTGGAAGTGGCGTTGGCTGTTCTGTGTAAACGCGGGACAAGCTGTTGCCGAATCTTGACACTACCGACAGAGTGCTGACAAGTGCTCTTCAGTCCTCAAAGCATCTGCAGCTGTCAGCAAGATAATGTAACCCTAAACCCTGAGCCCTAAACCCTAAACCCTAAACCTTATAGAGTGTTGTCAGAAACATGCAGGGAAGGCTTGGAAGCAGCCCAAGCGTAATCCAGTCCACGGGTTACCTACTCCGGGCATCAGTTTGGATTTCCTTGCTCCGTTTTCTGTATTGCTGATGTAGGCAGCCCTGGTTTGTTGAAAGGTATACCCTAGCACTTCAATGGCTCCGTGCCCCAAGCCATAAACCCCAAGACCAACAATCACCTTTTTGGGGCTTCCTCAGGCTGACGGTCCAAAAAGCACCCATTAGCCTCTGTCCATCTTTGTATGGCCACATTGCGTTTCTAGCGGGGTTCTTGGGTCTCCCATGGTTTGTCTCTTCCCGTTCAAAACAAGGGAATCCGTGTCAACGAACTCCCCCCCCCCCCGCCCCCACGACCCCCTACACCCCACCCTGACCAGGTGACAGCCGCTTGGGAGCGCGAGGACTCGCTTTCTTACATGACGGTCCTCTTGGGCACACAGCGAGCCTACGAATCATCAATGGAAAACCTGCAAGGGCCCATAGAGTTGATCAAGGCTTTCATCACAGGTTAGGGATTAAAGGAAGCTCAGGGTCAAGCTGCGGATTAGGTCAAGTTCCGGTTTGGGGTGCAGGCGGTTTGTTTGGTCTTGTGCTGTGCAAGCGCATGCGCTCCCCTCCTAAACCCTAAGCCCTACACTCTAAACCCTCGACCCCAAACCAAGTACCTCCGCGCTTGATGCTTCACTCTGATGTCCCCCTACCCAGAGTTGCCTTATGACCCAGCATGCTCCACTGGCCAGAACCTATACATCAGCCCCAAGCCCTAAGCCCTAAACCCGAAACCCTAAACCTTGATTCCTAAACCCTAAGCCCTAAACCCCAAACCCTAAGCCCTAAACCCCAAACCCTAACCCTAAACCCTAAACCCTACACCCCTCCACAGGAGTCCTATCGGCAGGGAAGCCAGCTGGAAGTGGCGTTGCTCACTGATCTCGGACCGGGTCCTTGGGTGCCCCACCTGCATTCTGACACGGTTCAGCATGTTTGGGCTTCTGGTTACGGTTTAGGGTTTAGAGTTTAGGGTTTAGGGTTTAGGGTTTAGGGTTTAGGGTTCAGGGTTTAGGGTTTAGGGTTTAGGGCTTAGGGCTTAGGGCTTAGGGTTTAGGGCTTTCTGTTAGGTTCTAGGGATTTCGGGAGACTGGGATTGAAGGTTCTCGAGGTTTAAGAATTGTAAGGATGAGGCGCCCACTTCCAAACCCACTTGGGGCTTAGGGTTCAGGGTTTAGGGTGTGGGGTTTAGATTTTAGGGTTTGGGCTTTAGGGTTTAGGGTGTCTCACTTTCCGGGATCACCTTGGTAGCAGGCGATGCGCTTCTAGAGTTTATTGTTGGGTCCAGGCTTCCTCCTGGATACTCGGCGCTTGCTGCTTCCTAAACCCTAAACCCTAAACCCTAAACCCTAAACCCTAAACCCTAAACCCTAAACCCTAAACCCTAAACCCTAAACCGATGGTCAAGACTCGCCTTCCGAAGCAGAGCGTCTTTTCCGAGGGCTTGGGGGTATTGCCCCTCAGCCCTCAACCCTAAACAGGAAGTCTAAACTCTAAAACCCTAAACCCTACAGGCCTTTCATTCTAAGTCTGAGTCCTAGACCCTGAAGTTTCAAGAGTCAGAAGGCCTAAAAAAGTGCAAAACCCCCTGGTAGAAAGAGGATGCTCCTACCTGAGGTTCAGCTGCAACAGGTCTTGCGGAAGACTGCCCATTGCCTGAAGCCCAGCGAAGCTCCGGCTTTGGGAAGAACGGTTTAGGGTTTAGGTCTTCCGGGGTGGAGTGGGCCTGTGGGTGTGGTGCACTGCTTATGGGCTTGTCTCTGCTCAACCCTAAACCCCAAACTCTAAACCAGCTTCAGCGTGTGCCTAGACCGGGCAGAGCTTCTGGGCTCATAGCACTTACAGAAAAAAGAAAGCATCTTCAGCAAGCCATGGTACAGTGCTCCATGACGGGCCATGAGGGGCTTCCAGAACCCTCCCTAGCACTGTCAAGGCGCCTGATGCTGGGTCCAAATCCGGGCTTGAGACCAAAAGGGCTGAGGGGTCTCGGGAGTTGTCACGGTAGCATGGCTGCAGCCTTACCTGAGCCCTAAATCCTGGAGCCTGATTCTCAAACTCCACAGCTCGAAATCTGGGCGTTTTCCACAGCAGGCTGTAGCCCTTCTATGCCCCCAAGATGCTGCAGTCTCAAGTATTGCCCAAAAGGGCACTGACCATCGCCCTTTTTGAGCCCCTTTGATGTCAGGTCAGGGCGGTTGCTCTCCCATGCAGGACGTCCACATCTTGAAGGTCCGGGATGCCTCTGCGCGTGAAGCTTGTTGGTTCTTGAAACAGGAGCAGGAAGGAGCTTTAAATGGGTTAGGGTTTAGGGTTTAGGGTTTAGGGTTTAGGGTTTAGGGTTTAGGGTTTAGGGTTTAGGGTTTAGGGTTTAGGGTATTCTACCAGACCTGATGTCTGGGGACCCGAAGAAGCCCTGAGCACCCGAAGCCTTGAGCCCCATGCAGTGACGCCCTGACAGGTGGAGAAGATCCACAACACGAGCCTGTGGAGCCGCTACATGAACACCAAGGTCCGACCGTCCGAAATCCTTAAAATCCTGAGTCTTCCACCCTCAGCAGCCTGAATCCGCACGAAATCCTACACCTTCCGTCCAGCCCCTAAACTCTGAACCCTAAACCCTAAACTCTGAACCCTCAAAACCCTCGAAACCCTAGACTGAGCCGTCGAGCAGCGCGAACGCATCGAAGCGGGTAGAGCTGTCAGTCCTTCAGGCAGCTACGGGCTGTGCCTTTCAAGGCAAAATTGAGACCCCCACTGGCCCACAGGAAGGCCATGTGGAAGGGGGCCCGCCTCAAGCCTCTACACCTCCAAAGGTTTCCAAGGGCCTCAAGGTCTCTAGGAAAGAAAAGGCCTCCACAGGCCTCTAAAGGAAGATGCTTCAAACAACGCCTGAGAGGCCCCGCGTGCTTTTCACGATCTAATGTTTGGTCACGGGGGGGGGGGGGGGGGGGGGGGGTGGGGGTCGAATTCGAGATCCAGAGCTTTGGATCAGGGCCTTCCTTATAGCCGTCACTGTCAAGCAGAATGATAATAAGCATGAGCACGGTCTGGAAAGCAAGGAGCCCTAAACCCGCAAAGGTCAAGATGAGGGTGGAGCGCAAGCGGGGGTGGGAATGCACAAGTCGCGGCGCGCTTGTCTGGGTGCTTTTAGTAGCGCCAGCGCGACCTCTCAATGAGTGAAACAACCTTTTTCAGAGCCCTGAATCCTACACAAGGAACCGATTTAGGGTTTGGGGTTTAGGGTTTAGTGTTTAGGGTTTTTGACTCTCTTGTTGCAGGAGAGGTTGCGGCGCGAGCTCAGGGACGACAAGGCAGGAGGTTACTTCTGGGCTCAAGGGGCTTTGGGATCTGGATCCTAGAAGGTCGACGGGTTGAAGCCTTCAACCCCAAAACCCTCAACCAGGATCTAGTGCTCGAGAGTCTTGCGGCATACAGGATCGGTTGTGACTGCCTTTATTCTTGTCATAGTGTCATAGACACGACAAGGGACCCACGACAAGCGTGTTCTTGCTTTCCTTCCAAACCCATGCCCCTAGACCCCTAACCCGCAAAGCCCCAACCCTCAGCCCTAAACCCTAAACCTAAGCCCGAAACCCCAAACCCTTAGCCCGAAAACCCTAAAGCCCAAAGCGTTGCATGAAAGTATGGGCAGAGCAGGTGCAGCCGAAGAGCCCCGGGTCGGATGCTTCCACCTTGCTGCCAGCCTTCCCATCCATCCAGCTCGACAAGGAGGTTCACAAAACACAAAGGCTTAGGGTTTGGGGCTTAGGGTTTAGGGTGTAGGATTTAGGGACGATAATCAACAAATATAGTTATAGCAACCATGTTTAAAGATAAAATGATGCCAGCTGCCCGCGATAGCAAGAATGAAGATAGTAACGTTGCGAATATGAGCATGACTGGCACTACCGGTGATAGCATGAAAAGAATAGCGGCAAGAATAATTCAGAACTGGTGTTTGGATCATACAGAACATCCGGCAGACTAGAAGGTGAGCTAAGTTGTCCATACTGTTACTGACCTTCAACCCTGAACCCGAATCCTATATCTATAGAGCAAGTGCAAAAGACAGGTGCAGCACCGCTAGCGTGCGAGCTCGAAGCAACCGTTCAAATGCCACCAGCCCGAATGCCTTAAACCCTAGCCCCTGAAGTCTGTGAGTAGCGACTGGCACCTCCACCGTTGTCGCATGGATTTCATCTTGCGCTGTTCAAGTCTCTCTGATCTTGGGTAGCAGATACCATCAGCATTGCACATGTAGTGATGGGAGCTTGCAATGCTAGTGGCGATATGCAAGCGGATCTCTCCACAAGAGTCAGCTTCGGCAATTTGGTGCGTCCCATATCATGGAGTGGAGGTGCCATACCCCATCGTTCAGAAATCACAGCAGCCCGCCCAGCTTGGGGGGAACTCTCACAAAAACTTTCAACGTGATTGCAGCCCGTAGCCAAAAACTTCTAACTCTAAAGCCGAAGCGCCTGAATCCCTAAACCCTAAGCCCTGCCCAACATGCCCTAAGCCAACAGTGTCAGGATGCTTAAATACAGGTCGGTGAAGTCTTGCTGCTGCATGGCACGAAGCCAGAGATTGTGAAGGTCATTGCCAAGCAAGGCGGGTGGGTAACTCGCAGAGTTCAGGGTGCAGAGACAACGTGATAGGGTTGAGCTTTCCGGGTTGCAAGGTCAGACCTCCGAGTGTTGTGGCTTGTGAAGCGATCCCAATGCGTTGTCTGAGCATCCGTGGCTCCACACCTCTGCTGCTGCTTTGCTAAGCCCTAAACCTCAATCCTTTAGCATGGGAGGATGCTAACGGTCCTGTACAGAGCGGCAGGCTTCAACGAGCGTCTGTCTGACGATGGAATGTACGGGCAAGGAGTATATTTCGCAGACCAGAGCTGCAAGAGTCGTGGCCTTTGTTGCCGAACCCCAACAGCGAGTTCTTGAAAGTTCTTGGTTCTTGTTGTGTGTGAAATCCAGTCCTTGACGCTCAGCAAGAGGCCCTAAGGCTCTGTCTTCCAAATCCCATGGGCATGACAAGGTTATCAATACAGTGGAGCTCAACACGGTGGTTATCAATACAGTGGAGCTCAACATGGTGGAGGAGTTGGGACCTTCATTGTGGCCCGTTCCTTGGAGTTGGAGACCAAGCACATACCCTAAATCAGGGATGTGACATCCTACAAAGGGCACAAATGGAATCGTAAACCCTACGCCCTAAACCCTAAACGGTGATTTACAAATCTTCAAATGTCACACGAGCCGAGTGCTGCTCACGTCCCTCTTTTGAAAGGGAGGCTGCTTTACTTTCTCTTCTGGATTCTCTAACGCCTTCTCCTTCAAGCCTCAGAGGACCATGCCATACAATCCCTTATCCCCCAAACATCCCCAAACCCCAAACCCTAAACCCTTAACCCTTAAGCCCTAAGCCCAAAAAAGCCACCCGAGGAGTTCTCCTGGGTGATCCTTTCATGGCGCGGGGCACCATGCACGGAGAGAGGGAAGCCCCGGAACGAGATCCGGTGGACCGGAGCAAAGGCCTGGAGTCCAGTTTGGGGTTCAGGGTTTAGGGTTTAGGGGTTTTAGGGTTTTAGCAAAGGCCTGGAGTCCAGTTTGGGGTTCAGGGTTTAGGGTTTAGGGTTTTTAGGGTTTTGGGCTTTAGGGTTTAGGGAGTGTTTAGGGTTTAGGGGGTTACGGGGTGGTAGGGTTGCAGGGTGTAGGGTTTCGGGCTGTCTCGTGATCTGCGAGTTTCGTTGAGAACAACTTTAAAGTTTAGGGTTTAGGGTTTAGGGGAACCCAAGCTTGGGGAAACTCTGACATGAGCTTATCATGTTTCCAGCCGTGTAAAGTCCCAAAAGATTCGACACCTGCAACGTCGAGTGCAACACGTCCCCTCTCCTTGCGCATTTCTGCTTCGAACCTCTTGTGGAATTCTTGCGCCAGTTTGATATGGTTCTTCAAAGGTGTCCAACATCTCGAAGCTCCTCAGTTGTGCTCAAGTTCAAGCAGATGTTGGTGCTATTGATTGGGTTCTTTCATGACGACAGAAAGATAAGCTGACTGTGTAGTTCGTGCAGCAGTAGGGCTGCTTGTGTTGGTGGCCTTGGCCAGGCCGGTTTAACTCTGTCTTTGCAGACGTTGGCACGCCACATGCGCCCCACAATCCCAGTGCACTTGGCCAACGAGCCGGTGTGCCCGTGGCTTGGTCGCAGCTAGTTCCAACACATTGTGAGTCATGCTCGATTTAGGGTTTAGGGTTTAGGGTTTAGGGTTTAGGGTTGATACTCAGGCACAAGTCCATCGGGAGTATGTAGTCTTCGATGGAGCACAAGCGCATCCAGAGATGGTGATACATTTCCGCGTCCACTAGCCATCATTCGCCAAGAGCCAGTACCGGCATCGCCATGTGTAGCTGCGCTGAACATGTGAGTATTGGACTGATGTTTGTGCAACTCCTAGTGGGTAGAATCTATGCCCAAGAATTGTGCTCGGCCGGCCACTGGTGTTGAAGATTGACAGTTCCGAAGAACAATTATTTTCCAGATAGCTTGTGCAGCCTCACGATGAAAGATCCGACTGGCCGTGCGTTGATCGGAATGTCCTCAGGGATACCCCTTACGTAACCGCAAATGCTCAAGCCTTGGTGACAGGGACGGTTGAGGCTCAACGTTTGGAGCTTGTAACGAACCATGCAGGTGAGGCGCGAAATGAGGCACGGACTATTGTGGAAGTCTTGTCTGGAGCTGTTGTGGTTGTGTAGCACTAGTAGATGCCGTTGCTTGCAGCGCAATGCCTCAGCTGACCAAATCCTGCACAACTTGCTGTGTGCAAGCCAGCCCCAGCATGTCGTGCGATTTGTGCAGATGGGCCCGGGTCCTCTACGTAGATAGTTTTTTTGCAAACAAATCGTGCACAAGAAGTGCGCGACTTGGCTTGGCTAGAAAAAGTGAGCCTGATGTTCTTGCCGGCTTTTGGCGGTAAGCCCTAAAGACCTAAGCTCTAAACCCTCAACCCTCAACATTCAACCCTAAACATGAAACTATGGAACCCAAACTTCCCCTGAGGGGCCCTGATTTCTAAGGATGCTGACATCTCAGGAATCTACAAGACCATTGGACAAGATTCCATGCTTGTGTCTGCTACACCGAAGGCCTTAAACTGTGTGGGTACAGGAATATGTGCAACATGGCATGGGGGCTGTTCTAGATAAGGGTCCCTCTTGAGGACATTTCTTTAGAAGCAGTGTGTAAGGAAGCCTTTTTGTGAAAGGTATAATACCAGGAATCGAATGGGAGGCCCTGATTCAGGACTCCAACATGCCAACGCTGCACGGCCCAAGATCCCAAAGCCCCGAACCCCGAACCTTTCAAGCGCAAGTGAAGGAACCTTTAGGATACCATGCTTTTCGCATGGCAACTGAATCTTAAAGTTTCTGACCCGAAGACTGAACATCTTTATTCAGGTGTTATGGGGGCTCTTAATCGTAACCCTAAACCCTAAACCCTAAACCCTAAACCCTAAACCCTAAACCCTAAACCCTAAACCCTAAACCCTAAACCCACACTACAAAATCTGGTTTCTTCGTTCGCTGAGCAAAGGCCCTGAATGGCCATTCATGTAATGGTGCCTTGGGCGAACTCAGCTATTTACTTTCATAATCTTGTTCGCAGGCAAAAAGTCGTCGTTTATGGTGTGCTTGCGGTTCGTTCATTAAACGCCTTAACTCGTTCGTTAACTTACAATAGAAGATAAGGCTTTTAGTGTACGCCCGGGTGTTCACTTTGTTCTCGCACTCCTGTCGTGTATTCGTTCAGTCATTCACTCACAAATTCATTCATTTGTTCCCTTCGTTCTTTTCGTTTTCTTCTTCGTATTATTAAAAGAGAGCGCGCGCACATTGCTCTTTTACGTGCTCATAACCTTCACTTCGTTCACGCAACAATATTCGTCCGTGCTGGTTTGTGGGTTTGAGCCGGAAACCTTGTGATGTTCCCCCTTATACTAACAGTCCTTAATACTGTAGGGAATCCAATAGGGGGTACTATAATCCCCAATAAGGATTGTTAGTATAAGGGGGAACATCCCAGACGAAACCTCTAGACCCCTTCGTTTCCGGTTGCAGGGCTCCATGATGGGGGTGTCCGAAACTAGGGGTGCCTTATTGGGGTTCTTATTATAAGGGAATTCGGAATCCTACTATTTGGGGGACTATATTGGGGAGGGAGCTGAGGATGCCTCCTATTCAAGGGTTGAGGCTTGAGAGTGTAGGGTTTGGAGCTCTCTTGAGCTCAGAGTGTAAGGCTTTAGGATGCAATGTCTTGTGGGTAGAGTTGCAGACGCTCCATTCTGGTACATCCTGTGCCTTCGAGCGTTTCGAGTCCGGAGGCCCGCCCCCCACCCACCCCCTTCAACTCCGAAGCTGAATCGTCAAAGTAGCAGATGCACCCCCATTTATGCTGACAGCAAGGTGTAAGAAGCTCGTGTGCAGTTCGGGAGCTTCATGTTGTGAAAGCAAGGAGTTTAGGGTTTAGGATTTAGGGTTAAGGATTAAGGGCCTCAACTGCCGAATATTAGGCCAATCCCGTGGTTTTCGGCTCAAGACCAGGTTTTCTGGCAGTTCCATGCGATCGTGCTAGGCCCTTCTTGCCCCCCTCAGCCTCCTCAATGGCCCAGGGCTATGCGGAGCAATGGGTGAATCCTGAGCGCGCCGGTCAGCTGGAATGCTTGATTTGTCACTGCAGCTGGGCAGATCACTGGTTTACTGACATCTTCTGCTAAGCAAAGGCGGGTTTTGCTGATGTTGCCTAGAAGTCACCCCCCCCCTTCTGTCCTCCACCAAGACCCCCCTGCTCCGCGCAAGTACCAGCTGGTGTATGTGTAGAGCACACAGGTCTTTTTGTACTATCGTGGCTTTGGGCCTCGTTTGGCTTGCGACGCCAGCAGAGGCGTTGCCCGCGATGCGGTCGCCACCCAGTGCTGCGGCCAGTTCTTATGCCTGGGGTGCTGGGAGCAGTGCCAGGCGATTCGGGTCAGCTAAAGGATCAGGGCCTAAAGGGCCTGGCTGTCACTGTGGTTCCAAATGCCAAAACCATAAGGCGAACATGAATTGCTTGGGGCACCCTAGCCTCCGGCATTGTAATACAAAGCTGCATTGGCTAACCATGCAACTGTTGTGAACGGAGCTCTGCGAGGTGGGCAAGTCCTATTTGCACTCTTCGGGCTCACTGAAGGGAGGTCTTCACCCGAAGACAGGGCCTACAGGCCTAAACCCTCAAGCCTGATGAACCCTGAACCTTAAACCTTGAACCTCGGCAGATCCTCAACCCTATATACCTTTACCCTGAGACCCTACACCCTCAGCCCCAAGAGCCCGAAGCAAGGCACCCGCACACATCCAACCGAGGCCCCGAAGATTCTAAACATGTAACGCTCCGCTCTTAAAGCCCTACAACCTTTGAACACCCGCCTGAACTTCAAGCGCCTTAAGACCCAAAGACCCCAAGCTCTAAGTCCCCAAAAAGCACCCTGAACCCACCCGCAAGACAAAGAACCCCAAGCTCCCAAAGCCCTAAAGGCCCCGACACATCACCCTCATCCCCCAACCCACCTATCCCGATATCTCATTCGAAGCTGGAGCCCTCGAAGCCCTGAAGCCCTAAGCCCGGAAGGCTGAAACCCGAAGCCGGAAGCCCTTAACCCTAAACCCTAAACCTTGAACCCTAAACCCTAAAACCTAAACCCTAAACCCTAAACCCTAATCCCCAAGCCCGAAAAGCCGCATCTGCAGGGGCGATCCACGACCTGCCCCCACTGCCGCCAAGCCCCGGCCAGCGCCGACCCGGCCAATCGAGACCGCCGCGAGATCCAAAACCTGGAGGTCAAGGGTTGAGGGATGGATCATGGATGAATTCGTGTTTCGGGGGGAGGGAAAGGGGGGCGGGGGGTAATGAAGGGCTTTGGTATGATAAGTCTTTAGTCATTTTAGGGCTGAACCCTAAACGCTAAACCCGAAACCCTAAACCCTAAGATGTTGGTGTTTGGGGTTGAAGTCACAGTTCTGTTGTCGTCGCCATCGTCATCGCCATCGTCATTGTTGGCGTGAATATAGTTGTTACAGTTACAGTTGCAGTTACAGTTACAGTTACAGTTCTAGTTATAGTTATAGTTATAGTTTCAGTTATAGTTTTAGTTGTAGTTGTAGTTATGGCTATGGTATGATTACGGCTACTATGGCTATAGTGAGTATGTATTGATTGTGACGATTTGTGTCATTGTTACAGGTACCGCTATTCTTACTGTTGGTGTTATCGCTATCCTTATTGTTATTGGCATTGTTATTGATATTGTTATTGGTATCGATATTGTTGTGTTATCTTTTGTTGTTATTGTGCTCTAGTTTTGTTATTGTGATTGGTATTGATAGCGATTAGTGCTCTTCTTCTAATGTTTACCATTGTTGTTCTGGTGCAGCTCGTTGTTGTGCGGGTAGGGTTTAGGGTTCAGGGCACTCCTGAAAAGAATGACGATTGGAACGAGTGGAAGCCTTCTTGGGAGAAAGCATGAAAGCTAGCCCTAGTTTTCCGTGTTCGGCGGGCCTACAGACTGTAGTCCTGGCAAAGTTGGGCTTCAGGGTTTAGGGTTTAGGGTTTAGGGGTTTAGAGGTTTAGGGGCAAGAGTTCAGGGTACCGCAGCCAAAGGGGTCCATATGGCATAGATTACATAGATCTTTGGCCACCTTGCTGGCAGATCCGATGCCCAAACGGATGCGGCGCAACAATTGCGCTCCTTGCCAAGGACTGGACTGTTTGGTTTGCTGTACCTTTGCAATCGTTCTCGCAGGGGTTCCCAATCACTCTGGACATGTGGGGAGTGCAATCAATCAGGCCTCTATGCTACTTTAGAAGCTTCTTTGCGAGTCTTGAAAGCTAGACACTTGTCTTCACAGAGGGTCCCACTCCCGGGAACGGTCCTCTGATCCGGCTTAGTCTAGGCATCGACAGAGGCTGTATCATACACTTCAATACTTGCAATGTCTATCAGCAGGAAGAAGTAGACATGTTTCCTGGTTCTTCCTCCCGAAGCCTCGGCCGAAAACCCATCGCAGGAGAGGCACATGGAGAGCGGTTGCACGCACCGCCGAGTTCGCTGCACGGACTGTGGCGATGATGTCGTCCAGAAGGAGCTCTTCATAGCTAGCGACTCCGGGATGCCCCGAAGCCCTAAACCCGCAGCCCGAAACCCTAGGACCTCAGCAGCCTTGGAATCTATGGTCAGGGAGGTTTTCATCGCAGGGGGCACGGGGGAGTTTGGGATTCACGGCAGTTCGCTGTCTTGCCCTAAAAGTCCCTCGCGCTACCCTAAACCCTAAGTACAGTATATATCCCGAAACCCTGACCTCAGTGATTGTGGCAGCGGATCTGCGGCTGCTGTGCTAGTATTCATTCAATCCACATACATTACTGTAAGCAAGGCTCAAGGGTCCTGCTCTCATCATCTAGGTTCCTACATTGATAATCCTTGAACCTTCCCCTAAACAGGAGGCACCACAATTCGTCGAGGGGGGGGGGGGGGGGGGGCGATTTAGTACTCTTTCGGGCAGCGGGGGGCTTTGCCTGGGTGGGTGTCGACTTTTTGACCTTATGGTCCCCACGCTCAGACATTCGATAGCCATAACCTTTCGAGGTGCCGTCAGAGTAGCAGCTCAGGCAAAGCACGTTGGCCATCCGTGTCGGCCCATGAAGTCGGTGCCGTCCAGGACCTCAAAAACCATCGCGAACTCCACTGCGCAGTGCTGTTCGAGCCTTGCCAGGCCACATGCTGTCCATACCAGGAATATCTAGGACCAGGATCGAGTTGTGCCCAGCCTCATTGATGCTGTTGATCCTTGTAGACCTCTGTAGACTTTTGAAGCCTGCATGCGAACGAGGATTTCTCGAAGGTCGCCCCAAAACTTGAGACCTTCATGTTGAGGCCAGTGACCCTTCGTCTGTGACACACTGGGTGTATTGCCCAGGAAGTATTCTTATTCTGCAGGTCCTTCGATGGCAAAGATACAACTGTTTCGTCGGTTTTGTAGCCCTTGCAAGCCAGCACTTGGAGCCAGACGTCAATCACGGAAGCCGCGCCAGAGACCCGCTAGGTTTGCGGCGAAAAAGTTCGTGTTGGGAGCATGCAGGCCCACATGGAGGCGTGCGGGCGATGGTTCGGTTAGGGCTTGGCCCAAGCCCTAAACCCTATGCCCTAAACCCTAAGCCCTAAGGGTTCAGGTCAGGGTTCAGGTTGTTGGGGAAGCTGACATGCTAGGCCTCCTGAGATCAGCTGGTGAGTTGGGGAGTAACCCGAGTTCCATTCCTTCCTTCCGTGCGTATGTCCTAGCAAGCCTTACTGAACGAAGACGAAGCCACGAACCTTGAGCCGCCTTAGACTCATCGATCGGCTTCGAAGCTGCGTCGCCTGAGGAAGGTTGTGTGTGACGTCTGGGGTCATGATCCTCCGTTTGCGAGCTGCGGCCGAAGCCCGATGTTGCAACCCTGAACATACAGCCTAAAGCACGCGTAGGGTTTTGGGCTGAGTTTAGGGCTTAGGATTTAGGGATAAGGGTTAGGGCTTGGGGTCAAGAAGGAACAAGAGGTGTCGATGTGTTTGGCAAAGACTTCCTCGCGCAGCTCGGAGCACCTTTGCCACCGGGGCCTTCAAGCCTCAAAAGCCCTCAGCGTCACCAAAAGCCCAAAGGCTTGAGCCCGGAGCCTGAGCCTGAAACCGAAACCCCTAAACCAGGAACAGCGACCCTAAACCCTAAACCCCAAGCCCTAAACCCTAAGCCCTAAACCCTAAGCCCTAAACCCGAAGCTCTAAACCCTAAGCCCTAAACCCTAAGCCCTAAACCCTAAGCCCTAAGCCCTAAACCCTAAAAGCCCAACTATCCCTGGGGCTGATAAAGCTGGCTGCTGAGATGCAGCAGACGCGCGCCGAACAGGCTAGGCCCGATGTTTAGGGTTTTAGGTTTTAGGGTTTAGGGATTCAGGGTTTAGGGTGTAGGGATTCAGGGGGTTTCAGGGTGGACATGGGCAGGTTTGAATTTTTTTAGCTGTTTATTACCTGTAATCCCCTCTAGAACCCGCGTAAAGTCATAAAATCTATGGGTTTTCTAGGGCCCCCAGACCTACCCCAGTTTAGAGGTGTATTCAAGGTCTGGGGTCCTAGGGTTGTTAGGGTTTCAGAGATTTAGAGGCGTCGGGGTTTAATGGCTTGAGGGTTTCAGTGTTGGGTGTGTAGGGTTTGGGGTTTGGTGTGTAGAGACCAGCAACCAGAAACTCCAAAAAGTTTAAGGTTTAGGGTTTAGGGTTTAGGGTTTAGGGTTTAGGGTTTAGCCGTGTGTTCGCCTCGGAGGCGAGGATGACCGCAGAGTTCCAAGGCACTGTTGCCACCCTGGCCCAGGCGGCGCTTGGAAGCGGGTTTCAGGGCTTTTAGTGTATTTGCGGGGGTTTAGTTTAGGGTTTAGGGTTTAGGGTTTAGGGTTTAGGGTTTAGGGTTTAGGGTTTAGGGTTTAGGGTTTAGGGTTTAGGGTTTAGGGTTTAGGGTTTAGGGTTTAGGGTTTAGGGTTTAGGGTTTAGGGTTTAGGGTTTAGGGTTCTGGGTTCTGGGTTCAGGGTTCTGGGTTAGGGTTTAGGGTTTTGGGGGGTTGAGGGATCTTTTTAGGACTGGGTGTGGGGATGCAGCTTTTCGGTTCAGGGTTTAGGGGTTAGGGGTAAGTGCGCGGTGAACCCTAAGCCCTAAACCCTAAACTCGCTTTGTGCACGGGATGCGCTAGAATTGGAGGAGGTGTCGGAACAGAAAGCTCACGTGGCTCAGCTGACTCAGGACCGACTCAGGGCAAACAAGTGGCAACAAGTGCTCAGGTTTCAGGTTTTAGGGATGTTTACAGGGTTTAGGGTTTAGGAATTTAGGAATTTAGGGTTTAGGGTTTAGGGTTTGGGAATTGAAGGTTTAGGGTTTAGGGACAAGAGGACTTGACAGTCCGAGTATGTGCAGGTTGCAATACGTCAGCAGCCCCCAGCTTCAATAGGACCGATCGGATCCACGACCCTAAACCCTCAAGAGCCCAAAGCCTCAACCCCTGAGAGCTGCCAGTTTGAAGCCTAGGACCTTCATCCCTAAACCCCCCCCCCCCCCAAAACCTTTAACCCTGTACGCCTTAACCACTCCATCCTCGAGATCTGACAGTGGGTTTAGGATTTAGGGCGTGGACATCCGAAATACCTCAGACCGCGCTGGAGTCTGGTGTTGAGTGTACTTCTTGGGCACGTGATATCGGAAGCTTACCAGGCTCTTTCCGGTTTTCGGGACTCGGTTTTTCGGTGATGTCTTCAACTGCATGGGCCCTAATATAGACCCCCAAGTGGTAGGATTCCCTTATAATAAAGACCCCAATAAAGTACCCCTAGATTACGAAACCCCCCATAATACAAGACAGGGCTTCGGTTTTCATTTTGGTCGCTTTGGTTCCCCTATGCCTTCTGCAAGGAGCTCCAGGGCTTAAAGAGGGAATTCGCCACAAGCGGCAGCAAAGACGCCGCTGAGCTGAAGCAGGACGTCCCAGGGCTCCTAGATGGCCGCCTGAGTGGAAGCCGAGTTTAGGGGGTGTAGGGTTGAGGGCTTTGGGGGTTTCTGGGGTTTAGGGCTTAGGCCTGAGGGTGCGGGCAACCTGCAATTCAAAGGGCGTATGTACCCAAGCTTTCCCAATACTCCCCGCGACTCACAAAGGCTCCCTAAGTTTGCCAAAAAGTTTCCCTAGGTACCCTAACCCTGAAACCAGTTGAACAGGCTGGCCCTGCGTCGTATACAAGACCAGACTGTTGCAAGAAGAGTTCGCGCACGTGGCCTTTTCTCTATAGTGGCGAGGCTCAGAGACTTTTCAGAACTACACTCCACAAGACAAAAAATTGGTTTCTAGCTATGCTGTACACCATAAAATTCGCGTGGACTACACAGAAATCATACAGCACTTGGCCCTAGGGGGTTTCTTTCGTAGCCTTCCCCTACACAAAGCCAAAATGAGCAAGCCCAGACGTGTACAACTGCACACTACAGACTCCTAGCTCTACACAAGTGGCGCCTACATTTGAGTACCTGCAGCCTACACCTGTTTCTGCCTGGCATGCTGGGAGCATTTTCAGCATAAACCCTAAACCCCCCATGAACCTCCCTCCCTTACGAACTCTATAGTCTGTGCACGGGATGTGCAAGAACTTGGAGGAGGTTGTGATCTTAGTCGCTTTGGTCCCCATGCCTTCTGCAAGGAGCTCCGAGATTTAAAGAGGGATTTCCGCACAAGCGGCAGCAAAGACGCCGCCGAGCTGAAGCAGGACGTCCAGGGCTCCTAGATGCGTGAGTGGAATCCGGGTTTAGGGGTTTAGGGTTGAGGGCTGTTGGGGTTTATAGGGCTTAGGCTTGGGGGTTAGGGTAACCTGCAATCAGAATAGGGCTTAGCATGATGACATCTATAGATAGGGCAGGAGCATGCAGGAGCAACAGACACTGGTTTCTGATCGGTTTGGCCTCCCCCGTTGGGCTCAGTGCAGCGTTTCATGGAAAGGCCCTTGGTGCTGGGGCACGGAGGTCTAGGATCTGTGTTGCTGAGAGCGCCTTCTATGTTGTCCCAAGTAGTTCCGAACCTTTTTTGCAAGGAGCTCCAGCTGCTCAAGCAGGGCCAGGCGAAGCTCCAGGCACACCTCGACAGCATCACCGGCAACTACAGTGCTTCAACAGTTGACACCAGCAGAGGCGACTTTTCAGCAACTAAGCCTTCCATTGTAGCAGAGACCGCTGGAAGATTTTTTTGCGCTAGCAGTCGAGGTGATTCCTTTCGGCCGCGCTACGTCCGGACAGCCACGAATTGCGACCTTTTTCCTCGAGTTCACTTGTTCTAGGGACGCGTGTTTTCGTTTCAACGTAGACTGCTCAGGGTTGAGGGTTCAGGGTTTACTAGTAGCTGAGGGTTTGGGGTTGAAGGCTTCAGGGTCAGGCTTCCGGGTTTTAGGCTGCAGGGTTGATTCTTGCGACCCCAAACCCGAATCCTGGACATCCATGCCGAAACCCAAACCCCAAGCCCCATATACCTTATCTCTACATCCCCCATGTGCCTCAGAGCGCCATCGTGGTTAAACCATTTGAGGGCCGGGGGCTGCAGACCGTGCGCATGCACTCGCCGGCAAAAGGGCCCTCCCAGCCTCGGGGTTCCACGGTTTGGAATACGTGTGAGGGCTTAGGGTGTGGGGTTGCACGAAGTTTCCGGTTGGGGGTGGATATCTAGGGCCTGAGGCCAAAAAGGTTTAGGGTTTAGCATGTAGTGTTGTTGGGTTGAAGTTCTGGTTTTTGGGGCTTAGGACTTTGTGTTTTGGGGTTTTGCTGTTGCCTGTGTTGCCTCTTGGGTTTGAGAGATGTAGTGTCTTGGTTTCAGGGTTTGGGCTTTAGTCTGATAGGATGTAGTGGTTTAGGTGTAACCTCTTGCGTTTGGATTTCGCTTCCCTGGGGTTCCGGATTTCGGGGTTCCATCAGGTAAGGGCGAGGTTTACGCGCCCCGCCCCCAAATAGTGGGATTCCCGTAAAAATCAGGACCCCGGCAAGGTACCCCTATTTTCGGAAACCACCATGTGTTCCTGAAAGTGTACAATGACTCGCATACAGGAGTTGCTAGGTGCATCTAGTTGGGCGAAAAATGCATGTTCGCGTCTATCGTCGGCCATGCCATAAGCGCACACGGCTGTATGTCCAGTCACCTGCGTCCGCCTGGTTCGTTTTCTGTTGGGCGCCGGGATACCAACGGGCTGAATTTTGGGAGGTTCCCCTCTATACTAGCAGTCCTTAATAGGGATGATAATGGGGGGTCCCTATTAAGGGCTGTTAGTATAAGGAGGAAAAACATCCCAAGCTGAATTGCAAGATCGCGTAGCCTTCTTCTGGGCTTAACCCTAAACCCACCCTAAACCCTGAACCCTAAACCCAAAGCCCTAAACCCTAAACATGTTTGCGTTCGAGGCGGAGTCTATTCGGGTCTCATATGGATGCCGCTCGCACGGGGTAGAGGAATCTCCGTTGGTGGCTGCGGCTTTGGCTCAAGCGCAGAATTTCTTTCTACAGCATAGGTTAGCAAAGGCAAGCGTTGTTAGTTCATGAGACTGCCTTGGATGATGATTTCCCTTGCATAGTCATTTGGCCATTTGGGGGTTTCCCTGCCCTGAACCCTAAACCCTAAACCCTAAACCCTAGACCCTAGACCCTAGACCCTAAAACCCTAAACCTAAACCCTAAGTCCTAAACCCTAAACCCTAAACCCAGGGTTAGGGTAGCGGTTAGAGGTTCCTCGACGTTTCTCCTCTCTTGGCTTTGGGATGCTGCTTGCTGCGACCCAAATGGCCAAACCCCTGGAACCTGCAAGTTCCACGGCCCTAAACGCCTGGAGCCCTGAAAGCCCCAAAACGGCCAAGAGCCCCGAAGCACCAGAGGCCCTAAACTTAAGCGCAAGAAACATCCGAAATCCCTAGAACACTAGAACACCTAAAAGCCCTAGATGCCTCAACTCCATACACCTGAGCGCCCTAAACCAACAACACAAACAAACCAAGCCTATGGACAACAGAGCGCTCAAAACCTGTAAAGCTTAAACCCTGCAGTCTAGAAGATCACAAGACCTCCAAAAGCCGCAAAACCCAAGCAGTTCCCTCAACGCTGAACCCTGAACCCTAAACCCCAAACCCTGAACCTTAACCCCTAGACCCCAAAACCCTAAACCTGCCAACCCCAAACCCTCAAGCCCAAACCCTAAACCCTAAACCCTCCATGTCCTATCCAAGCCCAGACCTCCCGAACCCCCCTAAAAGCCGAAACCCTAGCCCTAAACCCTAAGCCCTAAACCCTAAACTAAAGCCCCCCTGAAGCCCCCAAAGCCCCCTAAAGCCGCTAAAGCCCCCTAAAGCCAACTAAAGCCCCCTAAAGAGGTAAACCACAACAATGGCCCAGGCGTACCTGGCGACCTCCTAAAAACCCGGAGGTTGGTTGCGTCTTTTTTGGGATTCTTCTTCTTTGTTATGATAAAACGTTTCTTTTTCTGGGGGGGGGGGGAGTTTTAGAGTTTTTGTTGGGGGGTTTTTAGGAGTTTTCAGGGGCTGTTAGTTGCTTCAGGGTTTTAGCGTGTGAGGGCTTTTCTAAAACTCTAGGTTTTTAGGGTGCCAAGAGGTTTCTTAGGGCAGTTTAGTTTTTTGGGCTTGGTGGTTTTTTAGGGCTTTGGTCGTCGGTGTTTTTTGTTCTTTTTGGGTTGTTGAGGATTTTGGGGTTTTCGGGCTTAGGGCTTTAAGGATTTTCAGGGCTTTTAGGGCTTTGTTCTGTTAGGGGTGTTAAGCGTGTTTCTGGGCTTCAGAGCTATTAGGGCGTTTTTGAATTTAGGATGCGTTGGTTGGGGTCCCTCTCTGCAATCTACCAAGGGGCCCTGATCCGAGAGCAACCCGCCCCTGGCATCGATGTAGAGCATGCATCCCCAGAAGGGTGTAGGGCTTAAGGTTTCGAAACTATGGAGGAGATTCGGGAAGGGCACACAGGGGTGAAAGGTATTTTTGGGGTAGGTTTAATCAGGGCTTTTATGGTTTTGGTTGTGGGTTTAGGTTGGTTTTTACTCGGGCTTTCATCTTCTACACCCTTTGAGTTTCTTTGTCGACGTGGCTGGCAGAGCTTTGGCTGACTTCGGATGCAGCTTTTGGGGTTTACGGTTTAGGGTCTACTCTAAGTACTTGACACGCGCCGTCGGGAAGACGGACGACCCAACCCCGTGAGGGTTGTCTTGGATCGTCTCTCTCTGCATTGGGAGGTTGAGGCTTCTCAGTCGACGGCAAACAGCAGAGCACCACAAGAGTTACCATGCATTTCCTGCATTTAGGGTTTAGGGTTTACAGTTTAGGCTTTAGGGTTTAGGTTTAGGGTTTGGGGTTAGGGTTTAGGGTTTCAGGCTTTTGGGTGCTTTCCTCTAGCAGTCAGAGCCCCATCCCACTCCGGGTGCTGTGTGCAGTCATAGATCCCGGATGGCGGCCTATTCCATTACGCTGGAAAACGTCGATGAGATCGTTGAGAACCCTGCAGACCAAATGAACCCTAACATTGGGGCCATATACCCTATGCCACTATATGTCCTATTAAGGTATATGATCCCTAAACCCTAAACCCTAAACCCTAAACCCTAAACCCTAAACCCTAAACCCTAAACCCTAAACGTTCCCGAGGAACTTGTACTTGGGTGGCATCACAGCCGCTTACGAGACCGAGAACCTTGTTGAGCAGGGCATTCGTGCGGTGGTCTGCTGCGTCCGTGAGACCGAGTTCCCCAGCCACGAGTTTAACAACCAGCTCCTGCGGCCTCCCGAGGAATGTTGTTTTTTCTTTTTCCAAGGGAAGATGAAGACATATCATGGTTAGTAACGTGTTTTATGGGGGGCGGCGGCTCTAGAGGCTCGACTACTTCCGTGTCGACGTGGAAGACGTCTCCATTGAGCCCATCGACTACTTCTGGCCGGAGGCCACCCAGTTCATCTATGACCACCACTCCCAGGGAAGGCCCGTCTTCGTGCACTGCCGTGCTGGCGTCTCCAGGAGTGCATCGACGGTGATAGCGTACCTCATGTGCCACCAGGGCTACACCCTGAAGGACGCCTTCTTGCTGGCCCATAAGAAGAGGCCTTTAGGGTTTAGGGTTCAGGGCCGGGTTTAGGGTGTTGGGTCCCTAAACCCTAAACCCTAAACCCTAAACCCTAAACCCTAAACCCTAAACCCTAAACCCTAAACCCTAAACCCTAAACCCTAGAAGAGGCCGGTCGTCACGCCCAACCTCGGCTTCATGGACAAGCTCGCCGAGCTAGAGAAGTCCATCAAGGGCACCGCGACCATCGACCTCTTCAAGTATCTTAGGGATACTTGGGAAGTAACTTCTTAATTTCTGGGCACTATAAGTCCTAAGGAACATTAGGGATACTTATAGTTCCTAAGAAACAGCTAAAATTAGACTTTTTGCTAGGGCTCCGAGTTCAGTATGTAGGTATGAGAGCTGGTGGAGTGGCTCCCACATGGCATCGGTCCCCGATGTCGGCATTGGCGACCCGGAGCCTGAGGCGCCGGAGACCCCGAAGTCCGCCGGGACGCCGAAGTCCGCCGGAACCCCGAAGTCTGAGCCGCCGGCCATATCTTCCACTGGAGTCCAGAAGCTTCAGAACGCCTCGCGAAAGCTGAGGATCCTCAGGGCCATGTCGGGCCTAGACCACCATAAGCAGGTTGAGATGGACGTCCCCGATCTTCCACAGGGCTCGAACCCGGTGCACAAGGAGCGGCTGGAGAGGATCCGGTCGCTCCTTATCCGCCAGGCAGCTCACGACCCGGAGCTCGGATACTGCCAAGGCGCACTAAGGAGGAAGAAAGGGTGCGTAAGTAAGTAAGTAAGTACGTAAGTAAGTAAGAAAGTAAGTTAAGTAAGTAAGTAAGCATGTATGTATGTACGTATGTATGTGTGTAAGTATGTATGTATGTAAGTACTTATGTATGTATGCTACGGTGTGTGTGTGTGTGTGTGTCCTCTGAGCCTTGGACCCTCACCAAAACCACGCCCACACACCCCCCGGCCTACAGGCAGTGGTGAAAGTCGTACCCATTTTTTGTGTATGCTATCAATCACTCGGGGAAAGCTTTCTGAAAAGTCGTGCCCACTTCCCTAAACGCCTAGGAAGTGCAAGGTTTTTCATGCGAACCGATTCATTGCTGGTTTAACATCTTGGAAACATCCAAAATGCCAAGCAAGTGCAGTGTTTGGGCGTTGTCACTGAGGACGTAGTTTGAAGCATATCTTTGTTGCGCTTACATGGTGTACACCCTAAACCCCAAACCCTAAACCCCAAAACCTAAACCCGAAACCCCAAACCCCAAAACCATAAACCCCAAACCCTAAACCCCAAACCCTAAACCCTAAACCCTAAACCCCAAACCCCAAACCCCAAACCCCTGAACCCCCCTTTTTGAAGGCATGCACCTCAGTGCGGCCGTCTTTGTGGCGGCCTCTGAGTCTGCGGCCGAGGCGTACTGGCGCTTTCACGCCTTCACCACGCCCCTGCGTGGCTCGTCGGGTTTTTTGGGGGGTGTTTGGGGGGCTTGGGTTGTTTTTCGGGTTCTAGGGTTTTAGCGCTTTGAAGGGTTTGGGGTTTGGGGTTTTAGGGTTTTAGGGTTGTTGGGGGTTTCAGGGTTTTAGGGTTTCTGGGGTTTTAGGGTTTTAAGGGTTTTAGGGCGTTAGGTTGTTAGGCTTTTAGGGTTTTGGGGGTTTTAGGGTTTCTAGGATAGGGTTTGCAAGGTGTTTTTGCAGGTCTTACAGGGCTTGTAGGGTTTATAGGGTTTATGGGGTTGATAGGGTTGGCTTATGTTGCTTTTTTGTAGGGCCCAGAAAGGTGGCTTGTGGCTGGCGGACTTCCCGCTGCTGCGGAGCGGCTGCGCGTGCTTTCGGGAGCGGGGTTTGATTAGTGTTTAGGGTTTAGGGTTTAGGGTTTGGGGTTTGGGGTTTGGGGTTTGGGGTTTGGGGCTTAGGTTTTGAGCAGCGGGGCTTGCGAGACCTGCGCCTGGGGGGGGACTTCGGCTTTGGGCGTGTAGACGAACAATTGCTAATAATATTCCCTTTAGGGTCCCTATCGAAACATACCATAATGACCCCCAACACCCTATTCTAATTGTTAAGGCTCCTATATTACGGCGTTCAGGGTTTGTCTTCCCTTTAGTGCGTTTAGAGCCTAGGGTTTAGGGTAAACAGGGTTGAAGGGTGAAGGCGTTCGTTCTTGAAGCTATGGTTCCTTATTGAGTCATCTGTCTGTTGCAGTCCGATCGGGTTCCCAAAACTAGGGGGCAGGGGAGCTCCTTTTTGGGGTCACCTGTAGTAAGGATTGTAGTCCGTTGTGTGTTCCCCCTTGAACTAACAGTCCTTAGTAGGGATTGTAGTTTTTATTTCTATTAAGGACTGTTACTATAAGGGGGAACATCCCGAATGGTAGTATGTTGGGTGTATGACGAGGACCGGTTTGATACTTCCCCCCCCCTGCAGGAGCTGGCCAAGGACAGACCCTGGTTTCAGCACCTCTGCTCCAAGACCCTGGGATGGATAGACATGCGTTCTGTTTTGGTTTTTTGTAAATCAATCCTACACAACTCCATTAACCCAGAGAAATTCCCAAGCCTGCCCCAACTCTAAACTCCCCAAGCCCTAGACCCTAAACCCGAAACCCTAAACCTTAAACCCTAAACTGACAAAAGGAACGTCGAGCCGGAGAAGTACCTCCCAAAAGCCTGGCTCGGCCTCTTCGCCCTGTGGCTCCCTTTGCCCACCATCGTCCAGTGTGTTCAGCTCTTGGAGGGGAGCTACATGGCAGGCCAACCCCCTTTTCCCCTTCACCCCCTCCCCGCCCAACCCCCCCCCCCCCCAAACAAAAGAACAATCCAATATGTATGTATGTATTTATGTATGTATATGTATATGTATATGTATATGTATATGTATATGTCTATGTATATGTATATGTATATGTATGTATATGTATCATAACCATATAAAATGATCATGATATATGTCGGTAGGCTTAGTTTATATTCTGTTCGTTGCTAGGGATCCTCTCCATGACGCTCGTCCTGATGGATCGAAAGAGCCAGCGCCTGTTGGCGTCAGACGAGGCGCGCTCTCTAAGAGGTAGGGTTTAGGGTTTAGGGTTTAGGGTTTATGGTTTAGGGTTTATGGCTTAGGGTTTAGGGTTTAGGGTTTAGGGTGTAGGGCTTAGGGTTTAGGGACCCTAAACCCTCCCTAAACCCCAAACGCTAAACCCTAAACACTCAACCCTCAACCCTCAACCCTAAACCCTAAACCCGAGAAGAGAGAGAGAGAGAGAGAGAGAGAGAGGCTTCCTGTGCCTGGCCAGGAGGGCATTCTCCGAGTCCTCCGCAGCAAGGAGGCCATCCCAGCGCGAGAGCTGCTGCAAGAGGTCCGGAAGCACCTGGCCGAGGTGTCCATAGCATCTTGGTAGCCCTAAACCCTAAACCCTAAACCCTAAAGCTGGAACCCTAAACCCTAAACCCTGGTTACCGGGCTGCCAAGGCATTAAAGCACAGCAAGGCGGGCGAGGTGGAGCTTTCCCTGTCCCTGCGATATTCCAGAGTCCTGTCCTCGGACGTGCGCATCCTAGATGTCTTGCCAAGCCTGTCCGAGCTGGTTCCTAGGCCCACTTTTGGACACAGCCTTTTTGTCCCACTCAATAAAGTAAAACATCAAATGTCACAGCATGTGTTTATTATAGGGGCCATCCAAGAGTGCAAGTTGCTCAAGAAGAACAGTGGAGGTTCTTCATGAAGAAGTCGAGCCGGCTCCCACTGCGAACCCAGTTTTGCCGCGGGCGGAACTCTGCCAGTGCTGGTCCTGCTTGGAAGGCCTGTGGAAACCCAAGCCGGAGGAGATTCGTGTGAAGCTTGCTAGCCCAGTGGTACCCCCTTCGCCCTTTTGTTTTTTTGGGTTCTGGGTCCCTTATCAAGTAGCCCTAAACCCTAAACCCTAGACCCCAAACCCTAAACCCTAAACCCTATACCCCAAGCCCTAAGCCTTAGAACCCTAAACCCTCAACCAAGGAAGCGCGCAAGAGCAAGCGTCTCTGAGCAAAAGCTGGAGTTGGCCAAGATGCGGAGCACAACCCGCGCTTCCATCAAGTTCCAGTCGCAGCAACGGCTCTCCAAGCTCAACTGGGCCAGCCCGTCGAAGCTGGCCGGTTAGGGTTTAGGGCTTAGGGCTTAGGGTTTAGGGTTTAGGGCTTAGGGTTTAGGGTTTAGAGTTTAGGGCCGGCTGAGTTCTGCCTAAGTTGCGACTGATCGCTTACGAGGAGAAATGTTTCGTGAGCCTTAAGCCCTTGCCTCTGCACAGCGTTGTGGCATGGTTTCTTTTGGTTTCAGGAGCAGCAAGTGTATCTGACCTCACCAGAAGTTACGAATCAATCCTGCCCTTACCCGAAGTACCCCTAAACCCTAAACCCTAAACCCTAAACCCTAAACCCTAAACCCTAAACCCTAAACCCTAAACCCTAAACCCTAAACCCTAAACCCTAAACCCTAAAGCCCTAAAACCCTAAAACCCTAAACCCTAAACCCTAAAACCCTAAAACCCTAAACCCTAAACCCTAAACCCTAAACCCGACACCCTACACTCTAAACCCTAAAACCCTAAACCCTAAACCCTAAAACCCTAAACCTCTCTTCATATATATATATATATATATGTATTTATTTATTTTTTTAATATTTATTTATTTATTTAACCCTTTTTAAATTCGTCGAATAAGGCAAATCCTTCGTCGATTAAGGCAAGTCCTTCGTCGATTAAGCCAAGTCCTTCGCCGAATAAGCCAAGTCCTTCCAGAGGAAGAAGTGCAACGTTCAGGACTTCACTTTAAAATTTCGACCCCCAGACCCCCCCTTTCCCCCCCCCCCCCCCCAAGACCTGACAATCGTGGAATGCCGTCTGCTGCAGCTCTTGGTGTCACTGCTTCCTAGGGTTTAGGGTTTGGGGTTTGGGGTTTGGGGTTTAGGGTTTAGGGTTTACAGTAGGGTTTGGGGTTTAGGGTTTAGAGTTTAGGGTTTAGCGTTTAGGGTTTAGGGTTTAGGGTTGGAAGTATGAACCCTTCGTATAGTCCCTTACTCTTGCTTGTAGGGATCCGAAGTCTGGGCCTTAATTATGTACAGCGTATATTAGGATTATCTAAAAAGAGACCCAAATGATCGGCCCCATACTTGGGGAACCCTAGATAGTTCTGTTCTGCAGTGGATGTATGGCTTCTCTGTGCATGCCTTTGCTACCTTCTGGCACCCACAAGAAGCTAAGTATGTTCAGGCCCTTTGCGCATGAAAGGGCCGTCTTGCTACTCATGTTCAGTTCTCACGTTTGAAAACCGTTGGAAACGAAAGCCTTTCCCCAAGAGTAGTACCGTTGTTGAAGCTATGCTCCCTGCAGTGTACTGAAGGTTCGGAAGCCCTAGGTATTTCACAGTCTAGTAGAAAAGGACAAAGAACTCCACCCATGGGGGTGTCTCTAGTGTTGCTCATGCTTTGCCAGGAAGCTCCCAAGCAGTTGAATGGCAGAAGGGCGACGTGAAGGCACGCGTTGAATGTTTGACAGAAGGGCTGCACAGATGTCAGGGGCTGCAACTCTCACCAACGCCAATCGCCCCCGAAACCCACCTAGTCTGTGCAGCAACGCGCTCTCATGCCGGCGTGTGACGGTTTCGACCTTGCTGGGGCCGCGCAGTTCAGCGGCCCAAAACTCCGGTAGATCGACACAGCCTTGCCTTGCACCCAAAGCACCCAAAGCGGCAACGCGACGCAGCGACGCCATGCGCACCGTGCTTGCCTTGTGCTGGACATCTTGCGTGCTGGTGCATGGCCAGACATGCAAGAACTGCGAAGCCGAGGGCCACGGGTTCGTCCAGCTCAGCCGCGCTGGCCCGAAACGGGGTCATTGTCAAGATCGTTTTACATCCTTTCTGTATACTTAAACCCAATAAAGCAGCCATTTTACACGGTTTATGTCTACCTAAACCCAATAAGGGGCCAACATGCTTATTGCTAAGAGTACTTCAGCAACGGTGCAGGAAAGAGGAGCTGGTGAAACATGCCTTCCCGGAGCTTTTCGGCCGGTTCTGGGAGAAGGCGGAGGACCAGTCGGAGACTCCCAAGCAGGAGACCCCCCCTGGCTCTTCGGAGGGAAGGAGGGCATGAGGGAATGAGGGAATGAGGGAATGAGGGAATGAGGGACCAAGATATGGACCCTTTAAGGCACTAACCAGCCAGGAGATGATCGTGACGATGTCCTTCAACTGCTCGGAGGCGGGTTTGCAGGAGCTGGAAAGGGAGCTGGAGATCATCGCCGACCCACGGCATGAGCGCTATGCGCAGTGGATGACCCGTGAGGAGGCCTTCAAGAAATGCGGGGTGGATGCTGCAAAAGTGGAGGTGGTGCGATCTTGGGTGCGGGAGGAGGGCGTGAGCAAGTACATCAAGCCTTCGTCCTCTCCGCGGGTGCTGCAGCTGACTCTGCCCGTGGCTGAAGCGGAGAGGCTCTTCCGCACAAGCATCCAGCTCCATAAGAAGGGCAGGCAGGTCTTGCTCCTTGCCTCGGATTTCTTCCTTCCCCGGCGGGTGGAGGATAGTGTGGCCGCCATCTACGGCCTCCATGACCTGCCCTCGCGATCGCATGAGGAGTCGAAGGAAGCGAATCTGTCGCTCAGCGAGAGCAGCCTTCAAGCTGCTGTCACGGAGCAGTGGCTCTCGCAGCAGCTGGTTGGGGGCTTGGCCAACCAGCCCTCCCCTTATGCCAGGACGATTGAGCGTGAGAACAAACATTTCAATACATTCCTGGCTGGACCCGATCTCGTTCGGGAGATGTACGGTTTGCCGGCTGATGGTGATGTGCACGACTCGGACATAGGCCAGGGTCTACTTGCATACGCTGGTATGGGAGGCGTGCCGCTGGATCTTCTTGCGTGGTATCAGGAGTACTACGGCGAAAACGTCACCCAAGTCGAGGTGGTTGGGCGTCTACCGCCCCCGTTCCCCTGGCTTACTCCAGCAAATACAGGCATCCAGATGATGGTTGGGCTGGCACCGCACCTTAGTGGTCAATAGATGTCTCTAACCCTTAACCCTAAACCCTAAACCCAAACCCTCCAAACCCTCTAAACCCTCTAAACCCTAAACCCTAAATCCTAAACCCTAAACCTGGGTTCCAAGAGTCCCTACATAAACCTACGAAGGCAAGCCTTTCTACTCCCCTGTCGATTTCAGATGTTTAGTATTTTATCAAAAAACTTCATAAACTTGGGCACCTCAGGAAGGTTGCAACAAAGCTATACGTCGTGGCCGGCGGGCCCTTCTCTGCAACGAAGTCGTACCTCACAGAACTCTTGCAGGAGGAGCGGCCACCACAAGTGAACTCCATCAACGTGATCCTGGAGGCCACTGCGGACCATCGAGTGCCGGACTACGTGCAGGACTGGGTAGTTCAGGAGTAGCGCTGGGTTGACCCAATGTCCATGTCCCCCCCATTCGCAATGGCCTTAACCTGCTAGTGGGAAACAGGATGCATGGACCTTGCCTCAAACACTTCAATGGACTTAAGCCCTAGAATTCCAAAAGCATGCTTGGTTCATTTGACCAGTGCTCTTAACATGGATGAAGCAATGGCTGGTAGTCGTGGTGGGGGAAGTAGCAGTGATGCTGGTATTTCTCACCCCTGGCTCTAGCGTGTGGTTTCTACGTATACATGTGTACAGCATACGTGGTATGATGTGAATGCAATAACGAAATAAATGGTTTCGAGCCTTGTTCAGATATCATATGCAGGTACATATATATATATATATAGGTATGTACACAAACACAAGTATATGTATACATGCAAAATACATGTACGCGCATATGCGGAAAAAGATGAAAAAAACAACGTGTAAACAAATAACAGGTGTCCATGGCGCACCCCTCCCATAGCTTGGTTTTAGGGATTCAGGTTTTGCGGCTTTGCAGCAGTTTAGGGTTTGAGGGTTTAGGGTTTAGGGTTTAGGGTTTAGGGTTAGGCTTTTCCGGGTTTATGGGCTTTGCAGGGTTTCGGGGCCTCTATGTTTTTTTGGTCGTAGAGTCAGCTCTGATGGAAGGACATTGAGCAGGATCTCTTGCTGCTTGCGTGCAGAGGAATCACCATGGTTGCCGCCTCGGGCGATGTCGGGGCCGCCTACGGCCTCATGGCCAAGCCACAGGCTCAAAAGGCCCGAATCGTCGGGAATTATTCCTACAAGACCTATGACACGACGGCTTGGGGGTGCCAAGCGAGTTGCTCGACGAACAACTTTGGCGGCTACTGGCCCTGTGCAGCGTGGATGCTCTCTGACATGGGGACATCGGTGGAGTGCACAATCTTCTCGCTAGGCATGCCCTTTGAAGTCGTCCCCGGCAACAGTACGGTGGGGGGCCCCAATGTGGTTGATGGAGAGATGTATGCCATGTATCCAGCTTCCAGCCGATACGTTGTGTCAGTTGGGGCGACCACGGTCTACCAGAATGGTGCGGTCCTTGGCACATGGATGCCTGAGATGGCGGTGAACAGCTACGGCAGTGGTGGCGGCTTCTGGAAACGGACGGACACGCCAGAATGGCAGAAGAGTGCTGTGCACCACTATGCCAAACATGGGCCCTACAAAGTGCGCCCATCTCCAGCCGACGCCACCATGCAGGGCCGTGGGTACCCGGATGTGGCCGTTCTGGGCCAGAACTTGGCAGTTGCCATGGGCAATCCCCCCACATGTTGCTTCCCGGCGACGGGCACTTCGGCAACTGCTCCCATCTTCGCGGCAATCGTGTCCCACCTCAACGTGGCTCGGAAGCAGGCCGGAAAGCCCCAGATGGGCTTCATCAACCCATGGCTCTACCAACACGGACATATGTTCAACGACGTCCTTGAGGGTGCGAACAACATCCTACAGAATGGACCGACCATGGGCTATGGGCCAGCAACGAAGTACGGCTACAGCGCGGCCCGTGGCTGGGACCCAGTGACGGGCTTCTTGGATCCCAGCTGTTAGAATACTCCACCTGTGTGTTTCCATGTCAGTGATCCACCATCAAGAGAACTTCCCCTAAACCCTCAACCCTAAGCCCTAAACCCCAAACCCTAAACCCTAAACCCAAAACCCTAAACCCTACATTCTCTCCCTGTGGGCGCAGGTTTGGGCA